AGTAAACTTAAGTGAAAAAATTATTGACTAAACGATAAGTATGAAATATGCATTATGCCAGTCAAGTTTCGACCCAGCAATAAGATCCAGTTGACAGAGTATGTTTTCTCCTCCAATGGCACCCCCACCCCTTTTTTTACGTTTTAAAGAGGTACATGTTCGTTCTGTTCCCGATTTGTATTGTTTCAAATGACTCTTGACGCTTGAGTTTGATTACTGTACGTTATTTCTCCGTTTTAAGTATATCTTAACAATTTCATTATTTCGACCATAGAATAATCTAGTAAATGATGAGTTATAACGACATTGTTGAAATTCATCGACTTATTTGTAGTAGCCTGCCTCTTATTTAGAATCTGTCATACGGTATATATCCAGGACCTACTCCTTTGAGAGAAAATACCATAAGCAGGCTATATTGGAATGTTACTCACAGAGGAGATGAATTTGAAAAAGCTCAAAACACGTTTAAAATATATTTTAACTGTAAGATCACCTTTAGTTCTATACTCCAGAAAATGCATGTTCATTTTAATGTGAAATAGATGTGGCAGACATTGTGGTGTTTTGGAGTTTGAGTTCACTGGGTAATATCGAGTTGGCTTGAATGAAAATAGCAAATGCCGTCAGTAAATCTAAATATGGGACAAAAAGCGACAGCAAATGTTTTCATCTTGTCAGAATTTCTTTAAAAAGAATTTTTCATCACATGAATATATAACAGGTAACTTTCAGGTCAGCAGAATGAAAACATTTTGATGCATTAATCACTTGAGAGGAGACAGGGGTATTTACTTTTGATAATTATGTTTCCTAAAACTTATAAAACGCTCATTTACTTATATCACAAATAAAAATATTGTTTATATTTAATTTCTTAAATTTTATTTTTATTACTCAATCAAAGCTTTACAATGAAAATATTATTTCAAGAGTGATAATTAATAGCCAAAACAATATCAAGTTTTGTGGAATCATTTTTTCCTCCAAATAATAATCCTCGATTAGAGTTGCCGGGCCGAAATTCCCACAATGAAACAAAACACCTTAAAAACAGCGGGGTCATAATCATATTGATATTGAAATATCCCATTTTTTTGGGAGACAACAATAATTAAACCATACCTCCTTCAGTACTAGATTTTGACCATAATTTGGAATCAAACTTTTATAAAATTAAAAACGGTAATGTGTTATTTTCAAGTGCCTTGACTTAATTCTCGTTGACAGAGGACGTTTGATAATGAAATGTATGGTAATTTCCATTCCCACGTCGATACGATATATCCTGGTGAGCTTGAGATAAAAGATACCACAAAGTCTGACACATTTGTTTCATACTTGGATATTTTACTTGAAAAAGACGTTAATGGTAATCTAACAACCAAGTTATATGATAAACGTGATTACTTTAACATTTCTATCGTCAACTTCCCTTACTTGTGCAGCAATATTCCTTCATCACCTGCATACGGAGTATATATATCTCAGTTGATTCGATACGCAAGAACATGCTCTACATATGAACAATTTCTCAAACGAGGTAAATTATTGACAAACAAGTTGATGAAACAAGAATATCAGCAGTCTCGTTTAAATTCATCATTTTCGTAAATTATATGATCGATACAATGACCTTGTCAGCAAATACAATGTATCATCGAGTCAAATGCTGACTGACGTTTTTCATACTAATTGTTAGTCCATTATTTATACACTGAATTGACGACGGATATTTCCGTTATTTCCTGATCACGACAAGGGACACACGGCGGGTGTGACCGGTCAGCAGGGGATGCTCACTCCTCCATGAAACCTGATCCCAACTCTGATGTTTCGGAGGTCCGTGTTTGCTCTGCTCCTATTTTGTTTTATGGACTTTGAGATTGAATACTGTTCGTTATCTCCATTTTCCTTCTTTCCTTAATGGACTTTGAGATTGAATACTGTTCGTTATCTCCATATCCTTATGGAGATACCGAGGTGACTAACAATAATCAATTGTAAGCTCAAATACCCATTAAACATACAAAACAGGAGCAGGACAATCATAGACCTACAAAACGAAAGAGGTGGGATCAGGAGCCATGGAGGAGTGAGCATTCCCTGCAGACAGTCACAGCCGCCGTGTGCTCCTTGTCATGATCGAAAAGAACGAAAAAAATTAGTATGAAAAACATCAGTCAGCATTTGACTCAATGATAAATTGTATTTGCTGACAATGTCATTGTATCGTCCATAGAATAAATAAAATGATGACTTTAAACAAGACTGCCGATATTCTTGTTTCATCAACTTGTTTGTCAATAATTTAACTCGTTTTAGAAATTGTACATACGTAGAGCATTCTCTTGCGTATCGCATCCAATAAGAGATATATACCCTGCCTGCATGTGTTAACGATTTTTTGCTGTATAAGTTAGGGAATTTGACGATTGAAATGTTAAATTCACCTCCTTTGTCAATGCTTGTCATAAAAGTGGAATATCTATATATGAAACAGATTTGTCAGGCTCTGTGTTATTTTTAATGTCATGCACACCGGGATATATATATCTATCGACATAGGAATGGAAACACACCTTAATTTTTAATTGGAAATACGTCGTCGATATAAGTTGAGTTGAAGGCTACAGTAAGTGTTTTCTTTTCAATTACCGTATAAGTGGAAATTTTAGCGAGACGCATTAAGCGATTTCTCCTTAAAAACCGGTATTTAATTTTTAGCGAGAAGTAATTTAAGCGATTTAAAATGCTCTCTTAAGAAGCTATTGTGTAAAACATAATTGGCTTTAAAATAAATGTAACCTACGAGGGGTGATCAAAAAGTTCGCGAACTACATGCATCTATATATTTATAAAACCACTATTTTAATTAGAATGGAATTTGGCACACTTATATTCATACATATGTTCTATAAATAGGACATAAATAATGTTTTAAAATTGCCTTATAATATGTCAGTTTGTGACGTCACAGTATTAATGTAAAAAAAAATGACGTCCGTATGTAGGTTACTTGTGGCAAAAAAATGGTTGACACAGTCTAACTTGAACACAATTGGTTATAAAGTTAAACCTATGACTTGGAAATTCCTTTGCAGTTGCATATAATAATTTGTTTTACAAGGTTTACGAAGACAAAATTAAGACTTTCAAAACGTTAAGCAATAATTGGATTGATTGTTTTTGGAAGAGGGATGGTTTTAAATGGTTTTCCGTGCAATGAAAGCAAGCTGGAGAGGAGACGCGTCGTATTTAGTTGAGCAGTTTGTTTTGAAAGATCACCAAGATAGAGCTAGAAAAAATAATTGACTATCTCAACAACACTATCATTATTATATCCCCCGAATATAGTTTACTTTAGACTTTAAACATATCAGATATCAGAATGATTAAAAGAAGGCACCCATTCTATATCCATATTGGATTAATGACGTTCTTAAGACAGGGGACTCGGCTTGTGGTGGCCACCATGCATCTTTCTCGCCCATTCTATTTCCAATGTTAGTTCAGTTCTGACAAATAAACTCTTCTTGTTATGAAACATAATTTGCATGGCAAGAAATATGATTCGATTTTTTAAACTTGTCAGTGTTGTGAGATGTGTATTGTTTCATTATGTATATAATTATGGTAACATTGACAAGGAGCACACAGCGGGTGTTTCTTGAACATTCCATGGAGTGATGTCAACATGTGCTCTGCTTCTACTTTTTATTGTTTTATGGACTTTGAACATTCGTTATCTAAATTTTGTGTATGTCCAGATTGTTCCACGTGATTAATATCATGTTTTAATAATTTCTACTTCTGCCTGTAATGCACATGATCAGGTTTATTTATTATTATGTATATAAATACCCTGTCATTTCGATGCATATACAATACTTTTTCGTATATAAGCACCACTGAGGTACAACACACAATTAACCAACAAAAAGATATATTTTCACTGGGATACTTTGTGTGCATAAAAAATTTAAACTAGACACTCTGATGAAAATATGTATTTTTAGTTTTCATTCTTGCTAAGTTTGTACAATGTTATATGATTTGTATATATTACTGTTAATAAATTATTGTTAAGTTTAAATTGTGTGATTGATCTTTGCAAGTTTGGCATTTAGGGTTATTGGAAATGAAACATGCATCAAAAATACACATCAGCAAATACAGCATTCGAATCACTGTAGTCAAATGCTTAAATGTCGTTTTTCATACTAATTGTTAGTCCATTATTTATACTTGAATTGACAACGGCTTTTTCCCTTATTACCCGATCATGACAAGGAGCACACAGCGGGTGTGATGGTCATAAGCAAACCCGGGATGCATCCTTAGATGTATCATCCTCCAGTTTGGCACCTTATAGTTAATTGGAAATCTGCATCAAAAACTTTGATGTTTCGGAAAATATAGGTCAGATTCAGCATCCAAAGCAAGCCCAATTTGCATCCTGTATCATCCATGCAAGTTTTTATTGTTTTATGCACCAAAAACTTTTGATACGGAAAATGACTACTGCAAGCCGTTATCTCCAGTTGTATCATCCTTCTTATATTCTGTGAAAACTAAGACTGCTGGAGCATGTCACGTAACTGCCTGAACCACGTGATTCGCGCATGGGCAGAACGGTGGCAGATGTGCATTAAAATTGGAGAGAACAAGGACGATGCAGATGAGGGCTTGCCACGTTAACTTCTGCCTGTACATGCACATGTTCAGGTTTATTTACTTTTATGTATTTATAAGTATCAAAAATGTTAACCTGCTCCAAAAACATTAACTTATTCCTTTGCTGAAATTGCAGCATCTGATCTGGTACAATGAAACACACTAAAACCATCTTCCATGCATGTCTTATCAATATAGGACACAGAAGTAATTAAAAAGAAAACTGCAAAAAAATTCTTGGTTTTACGAACTTCGTTGAGGTGAGCTAAAAAGCTTTATTTGTTAATGAAGAATAACATGCAGCCACATGTCCTTAACTACGAATATCATCTGCCTAAAATGTTTTTTTTTAATATATAGCAGTAAAAAAGGTTGATGAATAATACCAGTACATGTAACCAGACAGATCAATACTCAGTGTTCAGATTATAGGTGTGTATTTTTCAGTAAAGTGAAAACAATTTTTTAAAATATGAATACACTTCCAAATACATAAGTACTAATAAAGTAATTAAATTAAAAAGATATGAGAGCTGTAAAAGAAGGTGTAGCAATATCTTCAATATAAGGGTTCATCGCAACAAAAAAAAAAGAAAAGAATTTTCAAAATGTCTGCTGTTTTACAGAACCCTTGTAATGTAACAAAGCTTTTCACGCCTTTAATATAGGCAATAATTCTTAAAGCCGTTACTAATAAAAGAAAATGTATGTCTGAATAATTCTTAAATTCAGAAATGAAGGACTTCTTTAGAGCTTTGCTCGGTACCCAGTGCCATTGAGGGATTTTTATCATGACAATTAACGCCTTTCATGACAAGAATCTTAAATTTTTAAGGTCTCATTTGAAAGTCCAGCATCTTTCACTTCCAGTGGCCTGTGCTCAGCAAAGGATCGGTTGCTACCTGTTTTTATTAGGTCAGTCGAGGTTCGAACCCACGACTTTCCGATCACAAAGCAAGTTTTTTCTGACTCCTACAAGGTAAATCAAGCACATGCAATAAATCCAAAATCTCAAAAAGGAATACTTCACTAACAAATACAATTTTTTTTACTTAAATCTTAGTAAAAGTAGAGGTCAAACAAGGTTACAAACAATGCATGTAGCATTTACAATGCTGTTATACATGTATAACAATACTGCTCCAGGCTTATCTTATGTCTTTTTTAAAAATCTTAAATGCAACATTTCAACAATCCTTAACACATTCTCTGAAACTAGGTATTTACGTAATTAGTGGAACAGGCTTAAGGTACGTATATGTAATTTGTATTGGTTGTTTACATTTGTTTGAAGTAAAAACATGCTGTTAACATTAAGGTGACTAAGGTCAATTACTCAGAACATGAAAACAAAATCTAGTTAATCAGCACATCATTTTCTATACAGAAATAAAACCAACATGTCATTTTAACTTGAAAAATATTTCTACAAAGCAAAATTTAAATTTCATAACTGGTAATAAATTATGGCTTTCATATATGAGCATTTACTTTACAGATGCTTGTTACATTTACCGGACATTCCCCTAGTAAAAAGAAGTACATACTTAGAGGATATCCTTTATAAAACAAGGCCTGCAATGTATGACTGTATATATGTACATCCTCTAATTAAAAAAAAAAAAACGAAAAATTGACTCTTCACGTTTATTTCCTCCATAACTTATTTCTAATTGCTAAGCTATAATACAATGTTGTTATTATCTGCTTCCTGCTGTGGATATACATATGTTCACCATGAAGTCTTTGGACATGTTTTCATCTTTTTCGGTATCATAATATTTACAAGAGATGTTTGCAGAACACTCATGCTGACAAGGGGTATAACTCTGTCAAAAATTCTTCAATCGTACCCCAAACAGACCTTGACCTAGGAAGAATGTTTTATGATATGACATCAGACAGCCTGTAGATCACTCTTTAGGTGATAGTTCTGGTAGAACTGGATCAGCTGGTCACTGATTCGAGGCCTGACCACTGTCAGAGCTTTGTCAAAGTGTCTCTGCTCCACCCTCTCACTCGCAATGTCCTCCTGAAGGGCAAACATGGCCGCCTCATGGCACACTGCAGACACCTGATCATAGCCAACCAAGTTTTATTCATCAATATTAAAAAAAAAAAAGCGGAGGAAATATTTAATTTATGAGAACAAGTATCAGAATTGATCACATTTACCTCGGCTCCCGAGTATTTCTCCGTGACCTTGACTAGCTGATCCACGTCCACTGTGTCCCCCGCCGGCATTCTGCTCAGATGGATTGTAAAGATCTTGTGTCTGGTGGACATGTCAGGGAGGGGGACATAGAGAATTCTGTCCAATCGACCCGGCCGCATCAGAGCCTGGCGCAAAAAATAGGAACAAAGCTTAGTGTCCACAAGAACTTCAACTAATTAATACATGATTTATATAAGTTACAATTAAGCTAGGACTACTGGGCTTTATAAGGTATTGATGAAATTTCTTGCTCATTGAAACCCCAATATCACGACCAATCTTACAACACAATGTACCAACACTTGGTCTCACCTTATCAATCATATCGGGGCGATTTGTAGCGGCTACAATGGTGACGTCTCGTAGACTCTGGACCCCGTCTATTTCTGTCAGGAGCTGGGCGAGAACACGGTCCCCAACATTACTGCTGCCCGAGGAACTAAACAAAGATGTCACAGCGGTAGTTACATGTATCATTTACACTGTGTATGTACCATGGACAGCAATAATCACCTAGTTTAATAACTGCAGTTACACTTTTCAAAAGAATTAGACTTCTACCTACATGTATTACAGTACTTTAAAATTATTATTTTTCATAATAACCCGATTGATTTCCATGCTCATATTTTTTTCTGAAGAATCCTGACATTAGCCTTAATCACATGAGTGTCACTAAAAAGCAATTTAACTTAATGGTGTCATATTAATTAATTTAAACCACAATTACAAACCACAGACACTTGCTTTATATGTAGGGCGCTCACACTTATTCTTTCAACATAAGAATAAAGAGACAGTGCCCTGCATAGGAAACGTGTCTGTGATCCAAAAACTTTTATAAAGTAAAACTACCAATCAAGAACAATTTCATTCCAAATACAAGAAAAAAAAACCTATTCTAGATTAAGGTTTATTCTGCAATGCAGAAAAGAGGATATACTTGGTAAATATTTCTTTTTTCAATCAGTACTTGCTTTTTAATTTTTGACCATGCTTACCTGCCTCTTTCTATGGCTAAAGCATCAATTTCATCAAAAAAGACAATAGATGGAGCAGCTGCCCTGGCTTTTCTAAACACCTCCCTCACAGCTCTTTCTGATTCTCCCACCCACTTACTGAAGAGCTCCGGGCCCTAAACAATGTAGGTACATGTACCAGATCATACATTTGTAATTATAAACGCAATCTTTTTTTTTCAATTACATGTACATGTACATGAAAGTGAAAAATTTTATTAAAGTGCAATCATATGATGATATTTTTTTTTACCTCTTTCTAAATAATTAGCAATTTAAATCATCTATTTTTTTTATTCAGTTGGAAACATGTGGCCATGGTGTGCCTGATGGGATAGAACTGTTTACTGTATTTAGTTGCTGTGATAAGCAGATCGTGACAATTTTGATTAATGTAATTGTATAAATCAATCCATATATATACAAATAGGCAAAACTATGATAATAATTCATCACTGATAATAAAATGTTAAATACAATGAATTGATAGTATTCAGTCCATCCATCATAGTTGTAACAGACTGAAAGGTTTGCAGGGCATAAGTTATCAGTTCTAGTATGAACCATTTAAAAGTTCTTTATTTAATATTTTATAAGAATTTGTTCACTTATTTTAGCATTTAAAATGGGATATTCCGATAATTTGAGCATAATGCACAAGTTGTAATATTAACCTTTAAGAAGGAAAGACAACTCCTACTGATCTTTTATGTTCTGTGGTCAGAATTTGTTATAGCTCTTGGCATGTTAACTGTTGCAATCATCTATCAAAACTGTCACATTATTAATTTGTTTAAAGGTAGCTATTAGCATTCTATATTTTTAAAATATATGTACTGTATAATTACCATTCCATCATATAACAGATGTAAAGGTTGCTTAAAAATTAAGATGTATTATTACTGTGTATACTTTATCTTTTTTCATTCACTAGAACTAAGACTTCTCGCACAAATTAAAGTTTTATCCTATATGTATTCAAAAAGTAAATGATCTGTTTAATTGTACCTTTACTGCAAGAAAATTGAGCCCACTTTCTGTTGCTAAGGCTTTAGCAATCATGGTCTTCGAGCATCCAGGGGGTCCATACATCAGAATTCCCCGGGGAGGGGAAATCCCCACTCTCTGGAAGGCCTCAGGGTGCCTGAGGGGCCACTCCACCGCCTGTTTTAGCTTTAATTTGACCTCTTCCTGACCTCCAATATCCGTCCAATTAACCTATAAATTAGTGTTGGCAACGAGTACCCGGTTAACCGGTTAACCGTCGAACGATGCGAGTATCGGTTAGTAAAATTGCTATTCGGTTACTCGGATAAAATGCATCTTATATGGTAAATAACTAAAAAATAAAATGTTAATTTGTTTATAAGCGTACAAATAAACATTTCTCTAATTTTCTTTACCGTTAGACTTAATGATCTATGGTTTCACTAATACAATTGATTGGTTTTCACACTTAACTGATAGCTTAATTGGATTGCCAGCAGGTTATACAAGTTTTGAAGACCCAAGTTATAATTACCTCATTAAATAATTTTAAAAAATGCTGTCAAAGACATGTATTATAGCTTGGAAGTATTTTAAAAGAACAGCTGATTCTATACCTGTAAAATGTAATTAATGTGAATAGGAGTTATCGTGACATCAAATTTCTAAATAATCATTCTCCTTGATCGTGACATACATATCGGGGGTTGAAAAGTTAAACTGATGAACGCCATTGTAAAATAGCGTGAAACATTGAATATTTATTTTTCTTCTGATTTAATTAAATTTTTTATTATAATTATATTTAAAATTCAAGATATTGCGTGTTCTTTTTAAGTTTATAAATAAAGTTAATTCACAATACCTTTGTGTTTTATTGTAGAACCGATGAGTAAAAGATGAGATAAATGATACATATGAATAAATCATCAGAGTAACCGGGTACTCGATCGGAAGATTGAGCGAGTAACCGGTTACTAAAAATCGTCCGATTTGCCAACACTACTATAAATACATAGTACACACTCATTGAACTGGCAACATCTGAATTCAAATTACAATTAAGAAATAGGGTATCATTTTAAAACACATCTGTCGGGCTATAAATACAGGTTGGTCACGAGATTAAATTCCAAAAAGCCCGAAGGGCTTTATGATGAATTTAATCTCATACCAACCTGTATTTAAAGCCCGATATTATTTTTCAAACCCAGTGGCATGAATGTAATCCACTGATCGCGCGTCAACCCTTTATGACGTCACTGAGAGATTACCTTGAACGTTTATCCATACGCACATGTATGACCTCTTGACCCGTACCGGTATTTATACAGTTATAGATATGCATTGCCTTCAGTAGTGTTATATAAAGAAAAACATTTGCAAATGTAAATATTTTATATGTTATTTAGTGCATTAAAACATGATGCTCCTAAAAAAAAAAATTAGGTTAGGATAATATGCACTGTCCTCTTGTCACAAAATGCCGAACTCATAAGGCAAGATAAAAAAAAAAAAAGCATAATCTTGTACTAGTATTACTTGAAACTGAGGTTGAAGTTTTTATGATTAACTCCCACAAACTATGCAACTTTTAATTAATTTTTTTTTAATATAAAAAAAAATAATCTTTTTATTTGAAGTCAAAAATGAATATTCCAATTATGTACTATACTCATTTCTATCAAATTGTTATGATTGAGAATTGAAAGAATTAAATATTTCTAATGGTGAATTATGCATAAAAAAATTTCAAAACCCTTATGATAAAATTACTGTTTGAAGTAAAACTGCATGCATAGTTAAACCCAGAAGCTATTTGAAAATAAGAAAGACTTTGCTAAACATCAGCCCCTGACTGCATTCCTTCACCTACTTTGGGGATTTCTAGCTGAATTTCTCTCATAGCACTAGGCTGGATGGTTGTCATGGCAGCAGTGACATCATTTACATTTAATCTGACATCATCATCTCTTCCCTGGAGTTCTCTTTTGACAGCATTTATTCTGGCTGTATAAATAATAATGTATAGGAGTTATAGAACATACTAGAAACTGTAAGCCAGACCCCTATCAAGAGTTAGAGCGAGTTAATAAGCGGCCTCAATACCTTGTTGACAGAGGTATAGTAGATCTGCTCCTACATAACCGTGGGTTGTGTCTGCTATCTGCTTCATGTCGTCTTCACTCAAACTGTGTGGACTAACCCTCAGTAACTTCTGTAGAATCTGAAAGTAAAAATAACTCTAGCTTTAAATATGACAAGGAGATTGTAAGCATTTTTCAAACAGAACTCATTTTCTTTCTACAATTTGATCAATGAACATTTTCTTATTTAATAAATTTATATATAGTTTACAACAAGAACAACTGCAAAACTTACAAACATTTGTTATACCGTATATACTCGCCTATAAGTCGGCTTTTTGGGAGTTAAACTTTGGTCCAAAACTCTATGTCTGACTTATAGGCGAGATATAAAAAGATTGGTATTTTAGAAGGTCAGTCTTTCTTAAATGAACTTCTAAAATAAAACCGACTTATAGGCGAACTGACTTATAGGCGAGTATATACGGTACATTATAATTAGAAATAATGAAATATATATACATATAAACTTTTCCCTCATTAAGAGATTAGAAACAAAAGAATTCAATGAACACTTAAAAAGGTACAATTATCAAAGGAATCATTGTAATTCATTAGGCTTACCTCCAGCCTCTCTTTGGGTGTGGGAACGCCCACCTCTATTTCTCTGTCTAGCCTACCAGGGCGACGTAAAGCGGGGTCTAGTGAGTCGGGTCGTACTGTAGATGCCAGAATCATCACAAACCGATCAGGACAAGATTTCTAGAAGCAAAATTATTAGGTATTTATAAACAGCATGAGACAGTAAAGTACCTCAAGGTTAAAACAATCCTTATCCCTTGTTAGACCAAATCTTTCAACATTAATGACGCACACAGTAAAAATTATTAACATTTTAAAATATGATTATGAGGCATTCACTATAAATTGTTAAAATTTTAAGAAATACTTCTTCATATAAGATTTTTAACTGAACTGAAATTAATCAAAACATCAACTCTGATCTAATGGAATCAATAGAGAAATTGAATTATTCCCCTTTTCAATAAGACAATACGACTTATCATTTTGAAGCTGTTTTTCAAATCAAATTTGTCAGTAACAGAAATGTCTAATTGGGGGAAGGGGGGCTCATTTTACTGCCAATACACAAAATACAATTAGCAAAAATGTCATAATATATCCTAAGAAATTTAAGACAAAAACAAATCAGAAGAAAAATGCATATAAAAACAAACTGAAACAAAACTCTGAAAACATGAAGACAAAGTTCTGGTACTCACAGAGGAAATGCCGTCCATCAAAGTCAGCAATGTGGATAGGAGACGACGTAGAGCCTCACTCTGAGTTTTCTCTCGATTTCCAAACATGGAATCAATGTCATCCATAACAATGAGGCTGGGAGCTCTAAAAATGGAGCACGAAAGGTAGATTCAGTTGTACATCACATTTAAGAAGTTCTTAAAAAATTGTACATTGATTCTAATTTTGATCATTCCTACCTTTCCTCTGCTTGTTTGAAGACATTTCTCAGATTGGCTTCTGACTCTCCGTAAAATCTACAATCGATCATTACATTTCATCTTAAGTCAGATGTAAAGTTTTTTTTCCTACTTTATTGATTTCAAGCTTGTTTTTATGTTAAATTTTTAATTTATTTCAAGTTCAAATATAAAGCTTGTTTACGACTGATCAAGTTATCCTATAGGCGATTCAGGGGCTTATAAAATTTCTACACCCACTTGCTGATGATGTCAGTAGCTGATACCGTCTGTGTGAAGATGTTCATCTCATTACATGCAGCTTGTATCAACCTAGACTTTCCTGTCCCACTCGGCCCAAACACTAGAACACCACGAGGTGAGGGCAGTCCTAAAATAATAGAAATATGAATCATCTCCAAAATTTTTGCTTTGGTCTCTTATAGTAAATACATGTATTCAAATAGAACTGAAATACTAAAAATAGTCAGAAGTTATCATGGTAATGTCTTCATATAATTGGATTATATTGTAAAAAAGAACATAAAAGAATTAATACTACATGTAAGCTTAAAAAGCTTATATATCTCGATCAACAAGGCTTTCTCAGCCCAAGTTCTATACTTCAACTTACCTGTAGAGTTGAACAGGTGAGGTGATTTAAGGGGCTGCATCACAGTTTCCTTCAGGAGGGTGATCTGTGATGTCATTCCCCCGATATCACTAAACATCACCGGAGGAGGTCCAGGCTTCTCTCCCCCTACTTTATCATTCCTCTCTAAGCAGCACTTCGTTGTTGTAGAAACCCTGTATACCTCCCCTACTCCATGACATGGCTGTTGTTTAACAGGAGTTTTGAACTGGGAACTGTCTAATGAGATATCTCCCTTCTGTGGGGAGTAGGATGAGATACCAGAGTTATTCCTCTTCCCTGGACTTTCTCCTGGAGATTTTATCTGCCTCTCCCTGTTTGGAGTGGAGCTGACAGGACTGTCCAGATAATCACTCTCATTAAGGATAGAAGACTCATCTAAACTGGATATATTTAATCTGTCCACTTCCTGAGACAAACTACAGACATTATCTACACTGAGGTCAAGGACACGATCAATTTCTGTTTCTGCTGTTAACTGTGTGACCTTCAGCTGACATTGCTGTCCAAAGTATGTCACACAAATCTCACTCTGCAACATCAAACACTTGTGACCTAATTGATAAATGTTAAAGAATCCTTTTTAGTCATTATAGTTACTCTTATATACTGCATAGGAGTAATTAAAAATTTTGCAGCACATAAAATTTCATTATTTAATTATAATCATTAGATTCAACAAGACCTACAGAGAGAATTTTTCAGATATTTGAGAAATTCCTCTTCATCATAAAATTGCTTCCATTCCCTGAAAATAAAAGAATGAGTAGAGGCTTACTGGTAAATCAAAATACATATACATTAATTTCAATGTACTACTGAAACATATTCCAAACATTGATTACAAGGACAAAATAAATACACACAATGACAACTATTGCAAGATCTTATACGAGACCGATAAGTGGATTACTATAGGACAGTGTCCAGTGATTACTTTGGTTGGAATCTGGCCTCTGCAGCCCTGACTGGACTCTCCACCAGGGGTTGGACAGTGATGGGGTCCCCTGCCTTTAATCCCAGCAGCCTCAATAAATCCTCAGACACTGATACATTGGAGGAGGGGGCACTAGTCAAGGGCCAAACTATCCTGTAAATCAAAGGCATAAAACACTACATTAGCTGTCTATGAATTTTTCTTATTGTTAGACTTTTTTTAAATTGATTTGAATAAACATGTTAAAATGTGAAATAAATATTTTATTTAAGATTCTCTTACATGTATGACCTTGATTTTATATACATTGGGGGTCAAAACAATTTTCATAATTTACTTTGTATCAAAAGTTATTCATTTTGCATGCATTCTTTTTCTGCTTTACTTCACAATAAAATAAAGCAGAACATATACAGTTGAACTTGGGTATCTCAAACACAGATTTCTGGAATACCATGGATATTTTGAAGTGATTTGGAAGATCCAACCCTTATTTTCTTTAAGTATTTTACCCTCGATATCTCGAATCATCATTCATTAGATGACTCAAAGATTTTTTAAGGTCTTATCGAATTTGGGATAACAAAATTTGACTGTTATAGGACCGAAGACATCCCAAAATATGAATTCAATGCTTATATTTACATATTCTTATTTTTCCTCTTCATAATTGTTTGTTTCGGTAATCTTTAATGTGAATTTAGCGCCCTTCAAAACTGGGGTGCTTTATAGACGTAATTAGAGCCGTTTGTGATGTCGTAAAGTTAAATAACGCAAACGAACCTTGCAAGGAAAAAAGTGACAAATTAATTTTAAATGCACTTTTGTTGTATTTTTACATTAATTCAACAGGGTTAATTTTTTTTTTATTAAATTGTGTCAAACAATGTACATTTTGGTGTTTTTAAAGTATTGAAAATGCATATAGTTCCTACTTTGTATTCTAACGCGAGGTGACAAAGTTTCGCGTGTGTTATAGAGATTTGAACGTCATAGATTTCTAATGGATTTCATAAAGAAAATTACACTGAATGTAAATATTTAGATTTGAACAACTTAAGCCTAGGGACTTTGCTTAATGACAATGATACAAACCCAATAAACTTCTTCTGTATAATGCACTCCTGACCAATGGACAGAGAACATAAATTCATTACAGATGGATGGACGAGAGCCACATCTTTTTTTCTGTCTTTTGACACAGGTATGTCTCCTGTCAAGAGATACAGGGGATATAATGCAATTTACTTATACAAAGACTACCGTTAATATATGAAATAAATAAATCAGAGTTTTAAAATACATCAAAGTTTGATTAATTGACTACAATATGAATAATTTTCAATTTACAGTAAGTGAAACAGAACAGGTTGATTTTTACTCTAATAAAATCCTCTTAAGATTCAATTATCTAGCTGAGATAAATATATTGAGATTACCATTATGATGAATTTCTCTCCTGGAAACATTAGATTTAATCTGTTAATTTAACAATAAGAGCCTTGGCTACAATGAGTCCTAAATCCTAATACTAAACAACCTTTCAGAAATAAACATTTAGTTATACAAACGTTATCCTTCACCCATTTGACGAATATTTTTAGATCTCTCTGATGTAGAATTTTGTCTTACGTTTTCTCAGGTTTACTGTACCTGACGTAAGCGAGACGATGCCGTGAAATACTCCATCTTTAAGGAACGCGTGAGAGAAATTACCGCCATTTTCTGCATTAGAGCATTCATTAACATGTGTTTTAAGATCTTTGTTATGAACTACACAGTGACATTGTATACATTCGTGAAAATCTACACGGTTTGCCTTTGACTTCGAAGAACCAGGCATGGTCTTTTCGCAATTGTGTATACCGGAAATGCAACATATCAAATGTAGCCAAAAACGGATGCGCTTATTTATCCGGATTAATAATTGAGTAATAGAGTAGTATTTTTTTCTATAGAATGTCATCATACATAAAACAAATACACATAATGTTACATGATCATACGAAGGACATAATTTGGCAAATGATATGTATCATTCTCTATTTAATTTTAAGTATGATAACATTGACATTATCAATAAATAACAAAATAGATTTTATAAACTAGTTGTGAAAAATATCACTTTCATATTAAAAAATGCCCTTTTGCAAGACAAATCTCTTGATTTGTTTCTTAAAAGTGCTCTTTCTTTTTGTACGTTTGATAGAGGCTGAAAATTTAAGTATCTGCTTGACATGTTTTCACATGAGGTATAAAAATTTAATCTTTATTAGACATGTTAGAGGATGCTCTAGTGTTATTTAAAGACACAGCTGATCTAAGAGTAAATTTTCCATAAAAAGATCCCGCAAAGCCATGGTATATATATTATATTATACATGGTTAAGTCAGAGTTGCCGTACCTGATCTTTTCCACATTCAACAAATTCAGTGAACTATACTTTACAGTTTATGGAATGTAAAGGGGTTAGATTTAGTATTTTTCTTTTTCAGAATCTTTGACAAACCTGCATACCATGCACAGCTGGCATAATCTCAATGACATTGTTCAAGAGCAGAATATAATAGCATTTCACTCCTTATATCTAAAAAACGAGCTAGCTCAGTTGTCCACAGATAAAAAAAAACGCAACCTACGTATTGTTCATTTTTTTTCTTTTACAATGGACTCATTATAATAAATTCACCACTCAAAAATTGATCAATAAAAATGCCTAAAGTACAAAACTAGGGACATACATGTATGCTACTTAGTTTTCAGCTTTATTTGTTATTTCCTGTATATCATTTTAAGGGTTTCACTAATTGATGGACATTTGTGCGATATGCGGTTTTATGGTGTCTTGCAAATTTGCTCATCTTTTCTGAAACAATAAAATAAAGGTGATACATGTGTAACGGGAGAGGAGAAAATGCAGCGGACCAGACCGGGATTCGAACCCAGGCCCCCTGAAACTCCGGTCAAGTGCTCTACCAACTGAGCTATCTGGCCACCGGTGATCGAACCCGGCTGACCGCCACAGTCCTCCCTCCGTAAAGGTCTTTGGCCCTCCAAAGACCCCAACCCAGGCTCATCCCTGGCAGGCCTTTCAGCTGTCAAATCCTGGTCACGGCACCAAATGTAACGGGAGAGGAGAAAATGCAGCGGACCAGACCGGGATTCGAACCCGTGCCCCCTGAAACTCCGGTCAGGTGCTCTACCAACTGAGCTATCTGGCCACCGGTGATCGAACCCGGCTGACCGCCACACATGTAAAGGAGCAAGGCGTGAAAAGCGGGTTCCACCAAATGTTCTACCAACACTAGCTTTCTTTGCTCCCATAACTAAAATATATTAACAGTAGTAAAGCAGAAACTTCAGGAGTACTATGCAACAATTTATTCAAAAAGTGGTATACTTAGGAATTTTTGGAAAATTTGAAATCACAAAATTTTACCATAAATTACTAAAATCAACAGCATGAAACCTTACGAGTTTTCAACTATAAATATACAACCATTCCCCCACCATAAATTGAAGTCCAGGATTTTTTTTGTATCATTGACAATTGCTTTGTAAATATAAATGGAACTCCTCTTGCCATTAGTCATTTGAAGTATTATTTTGTTAGAAAACATTCTGATTGTACACACATACAAACATTATATATTGTAATAGACTTTCAGCTTGAATGTGATTATTTGAAATAATATGTAAATATACAAGAAATATTTCTTTTTCGTTACAGAAACTTCGAGACCACGTCTTCCAATAATCTATTGGTATTCCTATGAGTACCAAAATGCATTCCGTTTTTAGCAGACCTAGCTATTTTTGTATTCACATGAAGCAGAATTTGTTCAATTTTATACAGAAAAAAACCATTTGCTGTGGTCTTCAACTCGACAATTGTCAATCAGCAGTGGTTATTTCCATTCTTAAATGTCGATACAATATTTTCCGATGAGCTTGAAATAAAAGATACCACACATTCTGAGACATGCTTCCTATACATGTATATTTACCAGAAAGACGTTTACAACCAGCTTTATATCAACTTCCCTAATTACTTATTCAGCAATATACCCTCATCGCATGCTGGGTTTACATCATTCATTTGATTTCATACGCAAGAGTATGTTCCACACATATGGACAATTTCGTATTGACAAAGAACGAAGTTGCGAATGTAAGCAGTTTCGTTTAAAGTCTTCATTTCGTATGAGTTCTACGGTCGATACAATGACTGTCAGCAAATACAATTTATCATTGAGTCTTTTGAATGACGTTATTTATACTGATTGTTAGACCATTACATTGTATTTAAAAACTGAATTGTCGACGGAGTTTTCCGTTATTTCCCGATCATGAAAAGGAGCACCTGGCGGGTGTGACGGGTCGGCAAGGGGATGCTCACTCCTCCACTGCTCCTGATCCCACCTCTGACGTTAAAAAGGTCCGTTTTTGCCCTGCTCCTGATTTGTATTGTTAGATGGACTTTCAGCTTGAATAAGACGGAAAGTAAAATACAATATTCAATTCAATTCAATTTCTCTATTGATTCACCAAACATGTTGGCATACAATTAACCATGTTACATATAAAAGACAAATAATAAAATGCATACATACATGCAAGTGTATGGATCAGTGAAGTCAACTATGCAGAGTATTACAACTTGAAGATTAAACATAATCATTATGCAAGCAGTATAGTATGGACAGTGATGAGCTAATAAATGCATTTGGAACGCAATTCAAAACATTCATATAAAAATTCACATAGCCTTCAGGATTACAAAATACTTTACAATGATTTTCTTTCAATATGTTATCGTTTAAATTACAGATGTTCAGAGGACAGTACTTTTTTCGCAAATCTGCATATAAGGAAAGTCATATATGGAATGTATTTCACTTTCTACAACAGTTTTACAATAGTGACAAAAACGCGATTCTTTTGGGATACAAGGCTTTGAATATCTGCCTACTTCAAAAGGATGTGCAGAAATTCTCAGTTTTGTTAATTTAGAACGTATAGCTTTATTTATTGTATATTAAGTAGTCTTGTAATTCATAATTCTTTCTAATTTGACTGAAAAATAATAATTTACCACATTTGGAGAATTTAATGTTCTGAAGTTGCAAATTAACATTTTTTATGTAAAAATTCTTCAAGCAGCTGCTGAATGTGTTATCAGTTATATCTAATGATGGAAGGTTAGGTTTCTTTTTTAATTTATCAATCTGACTTAGCCAATTATCCTTTACACCATTACTATATAGGTTGTCATCTTCTAAGGAAGCAGCAATAAGAATTTGATTTCTAGTGCCATTCTTATTCTTAACATTTTTTAGTCTCTTATAGTATTTAAACATTGAGATGATAACTTTGCAACAAATAGGGACTGTTCCTAGCTCATATTTAATGGCTAAAGGATGTATTCGCTTTAACAAAAGAATTGACCTATAGGAGAGAACAATTTCCCGGAAAAAGTGACATTGAATAATTAAGCTTTATTTGTTGTTTTCTACCGTACATATGTCTAAATTTTCCAAATTTGTATTTCTTACCTAAAAATTATTATTTACAACTTTACAATAAACCTTCAAAAATGACTGAAACACCATTTTGTCCGTTAAAGCGTTGATTTTTGCATGTATTTTGGCCTAGAAGTCCTTCAGGGCAGGCCTGCCCCTAAATAAAATTGTGATATTTTGATAGGTTATGATGTAAGGAATGATTTAAGATAGGATTTTTTTAGGGGCACCCCTGCCCTAGGGTCGAAATTCCCAAAAAACCTACAAAAAATAAGAAAACCTGATTTTGAAAATCTGCTTCAAATTTTGACCTGTAAATTTTATAGACGGACTAGCTCAGTTGATATAAGAGTTGGCTTTACTCCGTGAAATGCTTCTTTTTAAAGTCGCGGGTTTGAATCCACCTGGCACCACACTTTTAAAGTTTTAAATTTCGCCTTTTTAAAGACAAATTAATTTTTTTTTAATAGACTTGTGTATTTTCCTTCAATTATAATGTATGCCCATTCTTGATACAAGAAAAACTAAAGAGATGTCAAGTCGTAACAATCAAATGTACAGTTGTCAGTCAGGCGGAACATACCTCAGTATAAGCACACTTTCTCCGAGGACAAGAGGAACTCACTCTGTGTTATTTGATACAGATATTCTTGACAGCATTGAGCTGCGTCGAATTTGAATTGTATATATTCCTTAGAATTTAATCACATTGATTTTGGCTACATATATCAGTAACTGTACTCCCTTGGATTTCATTTAGGCCTATATAATTTGCACACATTAATGACATTTTTATTATATCCACGGATAAATAGCCTAGACATAAAGAATAGAATTTCAGAGACAGTAGACATTACCATTATGCACAATGAGAAGTAAAGACAAATATCAATTATTACATTTGGAGCTAACAAACTCAGAAAATCAATGACAAGGTTTCTTCTACCTCTACTCACTGAAATAAAGATTTAGGAAAAAACAAATTGTTAAATGTATTTGGCCTAATGGCATTAATAGGAACGGAAATCGACAAGCTTTTTGTAGAGAAAAAAACCAAGCCCGGTCCTATAGGTCAGATCCCTATTTATAATGAAGTGATCCTTTGAAGCTTTTCTCTGTACACCCAAAATATCTTTAAATATCAAATGCTTTATCTTTTCAAAAGGCAGTTGATCACAATTGTTTATATTAATATTAAAGTCTGAAATCCATATCTCAGAAACATAAAAAATGATAGGTTCAATAAGTGAAGTATATAATTTTAAGAGTTTTTACAGATAAGTTATTTTGAAAAGGTATAAAGAGCGTTTCATTGATGGACTATTGAATGATTATAATAAAAACAATATTGAGTTGTGTCAATTTTCTTATTTGAGAAAATCATTGCTTTAGTTTTATCAGAGTTAACAGTCAATTTTGATTTTAGGCAATATTCTGAGAGACAGTCTAATGAGTTTTGAGGACCTTCTTTTGTAGTACTTAGAGAGGAGAATTAGGTCATCTGCAAAGAATAAATGTCCAACTTCAATATTTTGTAATTCAGGAGGACTTGTGGTATAATTAATTAAGTGTGAGTAGAAGTCATCAATAAATATATTAAAAAGAATAGGGGAAAGACTATGTCCTTGTTTAACCCCACGTGTAGCTATAAAATGTTCACTATAGTAAGATTCATCTTTACAACAATATTTAGTATTTAAGTACATATTATTTATTATATTGTAAAATTTCCCACCTATGCCCTTTTGGTATAGTTTGTGTAGCATTAAAGTACGATCAACTGTATCAAAGGCTTTAGTGAAATCCACAAAACATGCATAAATGTTTTGTTTCTTCCATTTTAAATACTTATTTATAAGAGTTTTTAAAATAAATATATTATCTGTGGTACGGTGGTTTCATCTGAATCCAAATTGATAATTACTCAGTAGGTTATTTGTTTCCAAGTATGAATTTAGGGGCATTGTAAAAGTCCACTAAAGAATTTTCCCAAACAGCTTGTAACACTTAATCCTCTATAGTTCGATGGGTTACATGGGTCACCAGATTTATAAATAGAAGTTATTTGTACCGCATTCCAGGCTTCAGGTATTTTCCCAGTAAAAAGAATTTTATTCAAGAGTTTTGTCAATATATTTAGAAGTGTACTTGAACCACTTTTAATAAACTCGTTGAGAATTAGATCTTGTCCAGATGATTTACCATTTCTTAGACTTTTAATGCCAAGTTTGACTTCATTGCATGTGAAAGGATAGTCAAGGGGAGTAAGTTTCTGAATTTCAGATTTATCTACATATTCACAGGAGTTACTGCCCTTAGAGCACAATAAGTCTTGATAGTGATTCATAAATGCTTGAAGTCCTGGATTGGAAGAACTTGAGTTTTGTTTAATTTTATTTTTGCTTAGGACCTTCCAAAAATCTTTTGAATTGTTCTGATTTAGATTGTCGATGTTGTCAGTTACTGTCTTATAAAATTCATGTTTTGATTTCTTTTTCATTCTGTTAAATTCCCGTTTAGCATTTGCGAAAGCCTTTAATAAATTACAATCTTTAGGGTTTATTTGAATTCTTCTTCCAAGTTTGCGGACTTCTCTTTTTAGTAGAGATATATCATTAGACATCCAAGGTTTTGGTTTTTTCTTGTTTATTTTTCGATTATGTATTGGTGGTTAAAAGAGAAGAGTTTTAGATGCAGCTGTTAAATATATTTTAGTTAATTTATTGTTAATATCATCAATACTTATGTCTTTCTCATTCAGACTATTATCAAGGTCAATTAGGCTGTTTATGCTCTCTGTATCAACAAGGGCTGTTTGGTAAGCAAGTTTACATTGATTAGACCAATATAAAGATAACAAACAGTTATCTTGTTCAAAAGTCTGTTGAAGCGCGATGTAAATCAGGAGCATCTAGAACAAAGATGGACCTCCAAAGACATCAACGTTGGGATCAGGCGTCATGCAGAAGTGAGTGTCTCCTGTCGATCGACCACACCTAAGCTCATTGCTTCATGTCATGATCCGAGAATAGATCTACATGTAAAACGTAAAAAAGAATCCGTAGACAGTACAGTGTATTAAAATGATCTAACAATCACAGTATGAAATACGACGATTCTTAAATTCCATGGCTCCTGATCTCAAGTCTTGTGCTTTAAGGGGTTTCTCTACATCCAATGCAATATCTATTGCTATGTAGTATTATAGACATTTGCTCGTCATCTCCATATTCCCTCTTTATACTGTAAGTCTTTTTAATATTTCACGTTGTTAAACTTTCAGGATTTCTTAATTTTGAAATTTTAAAATTTAATTTGAATTTCGTGTAAGCATTTTTACAATTAAAAAAAATAATAATAGCATTCACAATGGGTTAAATTTTTCGGAAAATGATGAATCGCAAACACAGTAAACCCTTCCTCTAAAGGTTTTAAAGATATAAGATATGACAGTCGGATAAACTGACAGTGACATACATGTGAACAGACTACAGATAGGCAAACATTCTAATAATATTGACTGCAGTCCTAATTTGTAGGTTATCGTCATTAAAAAGTAAGACTCCATGATATTTTCAATTTCATGATATTTTGGTGAAAAAATCACACACACAAAAATTGTTGGGAATTCGGGACACCCTCATTTGTTTGACGATCTGTATATGGTTTATAAGACATGGACGTAATTATTAGAGCTGTCGGATTCTTGTAGTTTGTTTTTGTTTTTGTTGACCCCTATTTGACTATACTGATGACCGCTGGACTCCCCGTCTCCCCGGCCTCCCGTACTTTTGACACTGGTTTGACTGCCCCGGGCCTCACTAGACTCCTGCGGTTGTCTCTGACTCGCCCTGATTTGAGTGTATCGATGAGAGTTGGCCAGATCCTCTGTACCATTTACCCCTATCTGAGTGTACTGATTACTTAGTTCTGTTGAAAAAAGAGACGCAACTATATATAATTCTAAGAACTTTTCATTTTATATATCTCAAGATATATTGATTGGTAGTTTTCTATGTAACAGAGGTGTTTCTACTTAAAATAAATTTGCAACTTATTAAAAATATCTTCCAAAAAATTATTTTTTTTCTACATTTTCATTAGAAGAAAAATATTTTTATAAAATCATGTATCATTTTTGATTCTAGATGACAAAATTTAGTTGTAATTCTTTATTAAAAGCTACTCACCAACATCCAAACTTGCGTAACCATTGTCTTGCTCAGTTGTTATATGAGTTATGTATCCGTCTTTTGTTTGCATAGCTTTTAGTTTACTGAAATGAATAAAAGTTGATTAATACAGAATTTTCATTAATCACATTAATTTTTAGACAATTGTAAAAAGTGTTGTGTAAAGCCAATGACCAATAATTCACACATAAAACACATACATGTGTGTGTGTGTGTGTGGTGACAAATTTAAAAAAAACAGTTAGTCACTGTGGATCACTGTTTGGCATCCCCAAGGCTGAAGATCTCGCCTTTTTTCGTTATTGTCATTCTTGGCTTGCGAAGATATGACTGACTTGCCTGTCTGGTAGATCTTTACATTAAATAATCATATTGCTTTTGTTATAATTAACTGCGCATGTAATTCTATATTTAAAGTATAGCCATACAAACTATATCGGTCATGATAAAGAGCCCCTCTCACTGCTCTGAATGGCATGAATGGCCCTAAATGCTAAGTAAAGGCATTCATCAATGTATAATGAGGCTTCTATACTTGTATGCGTGAATAATTCTTGAATGGGAAGGATATGGAGATAAAGAACAGTATTCAATATCAAAGTCCATAAAAAATACAAAATAATAGCAGAGCAAACACGGACCTCCGAACCAACAGAGGTGGGATCAGGTGCCATGGAGGAGTGAGCATCCCCTGCTGACAGGTCAAATCCGCGATGTACTCATTGTCATGATCGTAAAATAACAAAACAATCCGTCGTCAATTCAGTGTATATATAGTGGACTAACAATAGGTATGAAAAACGTCAGTCAGCATTTGACTCAATGATAAATTGCATTTGCTGACAAGGTCACTGTATCGACCATAGAACTAACGAAATGATGACTTTAAACGAGACTGCTGATATTCTTTTTTCATCAACTTGCTTGTCAATAATTTACCTCGTTTTAGAAATTGTTCATACGTAGAGCATGCTCCGTGTGCAGGTGATGAAGGTATATTGCTGCATAAGTAAGGGAAGTTGACGATAGAAAAGTTAAAGTCGTCACGTTTATCATATAATTTGGTTGTTAGGTAACCTTTTATGTCTTTTTCAAGTAAAATACCAAAGTACGAAACAGATGTGTCAGACTCTGTGGTATCTTTTATCTCAAGCTCTCCTGGATATATCGTAACGACGTAGGAATGGAAATTACCATTGTTGATTGACAATACGTCGTCAATATATCTGAAGGCCGAGTTAAAGGCCACAGCAAGTGATTTCTTCTTTTCACGCAAAATATTTTGCATAAATTCTGCTTCATATGAATACAAAAATTGGTCTGCTAATAACGGAGCGCAAGAGGTTCCCATGGGAATTCGAATTGATTGTTGAAAGACCTAGTTTCCAAAAACCACATAGATATTGTCAATCAGAAACTCAAGCATCTTTTTGATGTCAACTTCAGAGTACTTTTGTGTACAATCAAAATGATTTTTAACAAAATAAATTTGCAAATGACCAATGACCAGGTAAGTAAATTTACGAGTTCCATTTTTATTGAAAAAGCAGCTGTCAATGATATGAAGAAGCCTGGATTTTAATTTGTCGTGGGGAATGGTTGTGTATAAAGTTGAAAGTCGTAAGTTTTTAAGCTGTTGATTTTGGTAAAAACCTTGTGATTTGAAATTGTCCATAAGTTCTTTGGAATTTTTGAGTATCCACATCTGTTTCAAACCACTTCTTGAATATATACTTGCACAGTACTCTTGAAGTTTTTCCTTCACTACTGTCAATATCTTAGTGAGGAGTAACGAAAAAGGCTTAGTTGAACATTTACTGGAACCCCTTATGTATCTTGTTTGTAAGGATTCTTATGAAGTTTTGGAATCCAATATATATAAGGTAGTTCAAATTCATTTTGGCGCTGTTGAATATAAAAAATATTCAAAACTGACATATGGTTTTGAAGAATTTTTTCTTTTGATGTAGAATTAAATCCAAATTCTTCTAGAATACAATTTATAAATGAGCCTTATTTATAAACGAAGACAATGTTGTTACCTGCTTTGTCGGCAGGGACCAGTACGTAGTGATCATGTAATCTAATTCTTTTTTCAATTCTGGTTTATTGAACACAGAAGGATAGATGGTTTTCATATTGCCCCTCAATCTTTTAATATGTGGCTTTAACATGTATCTGATACATTTCTGACAAGGTGTCAACGTCTTCTTTTTCATATCTGGCCCATCGTCTGGCGTAATTTTCAACAGAATCTATAATATTAATGAAATTCTGACGCCAGTTGAAGGATCGGGGTTCCCTATATTTAGGACCTTTTAAAATAAGTGATCTAAGGTCCTCATTATTAAATATATTTACGTCACCTGTAATAGCCTGTCCAGCAGGACTATAGTAACCGTTATAGGGTGAAGAAGAACATGAACACGAAGGAGGATTATGTTTCAGATAGTCGGTATCTAGGCCATGTAAAGTGTTTTTGTAATTGAAAAGTTTGGAAGCAATGGTCGATGTGTATTTGTATGAAATACAAGGTGTAGTCTTTAACTTGAAATATGGTGGAATAGAAGACTGGACCCTTTTGTGATTAATTATATTACTTATTTTGACCGCGTCAATTCATTTATTGGTATGTTGAAGTTTAAGGAAAAGACGAATTGTTTTAGCTGCATTTTCTTCCGCAAAACGTGCGGGTTTAAAAAGCTATGCTATGCAATATCCACAGTTACAGATCCGAGTCTATATTCTGGTGTCGAGGAATCAAAAATTGGACTTTCCTTGGCCTTTTCAAGAAGATTATTTAAAAGTTTCAGAGGAACAGAGTAAAGTTCGGTGCGAATATGATGTAGACCTAAATGTTGATTTAAATGAGGTAGTAATGAATCAAAAGAGACGTCGCGTATTGCAGGTTTATTGTACGGCCGATGCCCATGACTACGCTTGCGTCTTTGTGTATGGTTAAAAAGTCCTATCACATTTACATTATTACACTGTGGACTGGAAAGAATACTATACCAACACTATAGACATTGTCATTACATCCATAGGGAAAGGCTGTCCCTTGTTTTCTAATCCTAAATTCTTCTCATTGTCTACAGAAAGGTGTACTCAGCGATGGACTATTAGTGTGGTGATAAATCTTTTTGAGAATTCTAACTTTCAAAGACAAAATAGAATGATCAGGTAAATGAAATGTTGTATAAAAGCTGCTGACCACCATGATTTATTTGAAACCGGTGACCTGATATTCTTTGATTAAGTGATCCCTTGGTTTCACCAACATAAACGAGTCCACACGTATTACATTCTATTCCATAGACAACTTTAGAAGATTTGCAGTTAAGATTTTCCCAAGTTTTAGTATACAAGCTCTGTTCAGTAGGATTACTGGTAAAAGAAGTTTTAGTTATCAAAACGTCACAGGTTTCACAGTTTTTCACAGAACATTTGGAAACAGAAGCCACGGGATCGGAAAAGGAATCATTTAGTATATCTGTAATAGAAACCTCACATTCTTTCAATTTGTATGATGTATTGGATTTATACCAAAACTGGGCATCTGAAGAACTTATCTAAGGGGTACCAAATGAACTCCTCGAGTCTTTGTCCCTTTTTACACTGGGCGACGCGCCTGCCAGTATCATTTCGTTAACCTGTGTACTCATGAATGAATAGGTACCGAACGACAAGTATCCTTGGGGACAGACTGTCCACCAGCAGAGATACATGTTCGGTGGTTAAAAGAAGGATATGGATATAACGAACAGTAATCAATACCGTATAAGTAAAAATTTTAGCGAGACGCAAATTTAGCGATTTGTCCTTAAAAACTGGTAATTTATTGTTAGCGAGTTGTTATTTTACCAATTTTAAAATGCATATTAATGAAGCTATTACAAAGAAAACGTAATAAATTTTTAGCGATATTCAATTTAAGCGATCTCTGCGCCCTCGCTAATAATGCCAAAACTGAATCCTCGCTAAAAAAATTCCACTTATACGATATAAAGTCCATAAACAATACAAAATAGGAGCAGAGCAAATACGGACCTCCAAAACATCAGAGATGGGATCAGGTGCCATGGAGGAGTGAGCATCCCCTGTTGACCGGTCACATCCGCCTTGTGCCCCTTGTCATGATCGTGAAATAACGGATAATTTGTCGTCATTTCAGTGTATAAATAATGGACTAACAATCGGTATGAAAAACTTAAGTCAGCATTTGACTCAATGATAAATTGTATTTGCTGACAAGATCATTGCATCGACCATAAAACTTACGAAATGATGACCTTAAACGAGACTGCTGATATTCTTGTGTCATCAACTTGCTTGTCAATAGTTTACCTCGTTTTAGAAATTGTTCATATGTAGAGCATGCTCTTGCGTATCGATTTAACTGAGATATATATACACTCCGTATGCAGGTGATGAAGGTAAACAATGAGCAGATAAAAAAATCAATCTTTTTGTAGAGGGATATACATGTAAAGGGAATTTTCCTCATATATAAACTGAATTCTTACCGTGCTGTTATAAATAAAGCTATAGTGATTCCAATAAAGATAACCAACGCCAGAAAAAGAACACCGACTGCAGCTCTATATATCTGCAGCTGAGAAGAGGACCTAGTGGAGGGTAGCTGCACAGGCACAAACACCTCAACGGTAATGTCTGTACAATAAAATTCATATCATTTCCATACTTTTCCATACAATATATAAAAGTTCATAAACGTAATGGTTACTTTTTCATATACATGGGTGCCAATCAGTACAAATATTTATGAAGTTTAATTTTCTGGATTTTACTAACACACTTCGTGAAATCTTTGTGATCTTTCTAGTACTTACTCTGATCACAATGTTGACCTTTCCAACCGTCCGTACACTGTAGACATGCCCCTGTCACTATGTCACATTGGTTGCCCCGGCAGTTTATTGGACATTTCATTTCGCAATTTTCTCCATAAACTCCTGATGCACACCCTAATTCATATGTGATTATTTTATTAAACAATTGTCTTTTGCATGGTGAATTTTACTTAATGTGTAATAATTGGTGGAACAGCTTATCGACTAAAATACAAAACATACATCAACACTATTTAAAATCCCAACTCCGTTGAGTCTGAAAATGAAATCCATTTTAAATCAAATAATGGCGGTAAATATACCAAGTAGAGACAACGACAACGTTTTCTAGGTCGCCTTCGTTGCACAGTAGTTTTAGTGGCTGCTCTTGAATCGCGGAATAATTTAATGAGTTAAATCCTCATGTAGAGGGTTCGAATCCCCCTTGTGGGACGTGAAGGCCGGTGCTTCGGATGAGATAGTAAAAACCGAGGTACACTGTACCTAGCTACAGATCTGTAGCTCGAAAAAATTATATACTAGTAGGAGAGCTACAGATTTGCAGCTACCGAGGTATCGGGTCGCAGTAGGTGCTGGCACGAAAAAGATCCATCATTATGAGTGAAAAATTCTTGAGAGGGACTTGAAAGAACTCAACATATGAATAAACAAGGTCCATTTGCAACGTTCAATTTCTCACAGAAGGAGAAGGTTATATCCAGTAAGGCCATTATTTATTCTGTTTGAAGATATATATTCAGACAATAGAGCCCCGAATTAAGGAGAGATGATACAAACAGATCTAGATTTTTGTCAAAAATCTTAAAATAACATTTTAAATCATGTTTAAAGGAGGAAAATGAATAATTTCATCCATATATATTTCTTGATTTTTATTTACAGATTTAATAAATGGGATTTAAATTGATGAAAAAATGTATAGAATAATAGAGATAGATCCAGAAAGGTAGAATTTTAAAATAATAGAAAACTTTACAATTAATTTGTCTTACATTTTAGAAATTTATTATTCGCATCATTTACAAACAAAATAGACCTGTACATTTGTAAGTAAAATTATGCCAATCCAGGCATCCATTTTCTTTGTATCATCTGTCCTTAAATATGTTAAATTGTTGGCAATAAGGTTAAAAATGTGATGAAAGTTAGTAGATTAGTTGTAAGAGCACTCACCAAAGACTTGGACTTCACAGAGTTCCGCAGTGATTTCTTTTTGTCTTCTATTATAGTACGTGACGTAACGCCCATGACGTGTACACACATGATCTGATTCCAATTGGAACAGTGTGCCGTTGTTCTGGTAGCACAGATATCCATCATTAGGGCTAACTGCACAGGTGGTGTTCGATATATAAAGAGAAAATCCAGCGTGGTCACATAATCTTTTTTCAACTATTGCTAGAGGAAAGAAATTTTACAAAGTTTAACAAAAGTGAGGAGCATATAATTTTATGCCCCCGTAAACGAAGTTTCGGGGTTTATAGTTTTTGTCGTGTCCGTCCGTCTGTCTAGCTGTCTCTCTGTCTGTCTCACACTGCCTGTTTGTCCGCAAAAACTTTAACCTTGACCATAACTTCGATTAAGTGAATTCAGCTATGACTTTCATATTTAATATAATATGTATTCCTTGTGACAAGACCTCTCTTTGGATACCACGAAATTGTGACCTTTTGACCTCGACCTAGGAGTTTAGCCAACTTTTACACAAAATTTCCAAACTTTAACTTTTACCATATCTGTTGAAAAGTATACACCAGGTTATTTATACTCCACATATGTATTTTTGTGGATATAATTTAATTGGATACCAACTTTCACTTGACCTTTTGACCTTAATTTTCGAGATTTCCGTACTTTTGAAAAACTTTAACCTTGGCCATAACTTTTGAACGCTAAGGTCTAGTTATCTCGTAATTAAAACATGTAATCCTTGTAGGAAGACCCTTCATTGGATACCAATTAAGAACTTTGAGCCTTTGACCTTGGAGTTTGACATATTTTTTAAAAGCAAAACTTGACGATAATTTTTTAGGGCTGGTGCTTTTATACTCTACATACCGGTATTTATTCCTTGTGACAAGACCTTTCATTTAATAGCAAAACCTTTGACTCTTTGACCTTGGAGTTTGACCTACTTTTTGAATATTTAACCTTGACCATACCTTTTGAAGGGCTAGGGTTTTCATATTTCACATTTGTTTTTTTTTTTTTGTGGCAAGACCTTTCACTGGATACCAGTTACTTTGATCTTTTGCTCTTGACCTACAGGTTTTCTGTACTTATAATTGATTTTAAGTTTGACCTATTTTCAAATTGCACAATTGTATTTCCAGTTAGAATACCCAACTTTTAGTACTAATATATTAAATCTGCATTTAAGAAAAAAATAATCTTCGCTACGTTGCCATTCAGGGGCATCAGAGTTTCACAAACACATCATGTTATTTATAAAGAATAACATGCTTAAAAGAATGGTACATGTAATTGTGTGAAAAAAATATTAGTGCATACATCATTGAACATCTCAAAAATTCCCATTTTTATGAAACATAGTTTCCCTTGATTTCCCATGATTTTTCAAACCTTTGTATTTCACCTTGATAAAGCAAAAATATAGCAATATTAAAATGCAAATCTTCTTCGTAAAATTAACTTGACGCGTACTCCAATACAACAGCGAAACCTGGGGGGAAAATTATGTACTCTTCGCCAGTATCTCAGTCAACGCTTACTGTTGTCATTGCTGTCATTACGGATAAAGACCCGGATATCGTGGATACTTTTTACTTCCCCTAAGTCAACCCTCCACCACACGATGTTTTCTTGTTTTGTGCTGGCACAAACCTCAAACTTCTGATCTGTGTTATTATCTACCGCCCAACTGGCTCTTTTGTCCCCTGAGGCTGATGTTGAGCTCTGTTCAGCTTGTCTATTTAACGCAAGATTATCTGTAAAAGATTCGTCTATTTAAAAGAGATAGGTGTTCTTTACTTTCCTTCAACAAAAAGTTCAGATAACCTGTACACACTTCAATCTCAATATTGATGAGTCGCTCGCGTGGCGCAATGGTTAGAGCGTCTTCTCTAGAGTCGTGAAGTAAGGAGTCGATCCTTACGTCATGGGTTCGCATCCCACTGTGAGACGCAGAAACCGGTCCTTCGGATGAGACCCTTTAAGGTCCGACGATATGTTCCTCGGATATGTGTTTTGTATATTTTTGAAATATATCAAAATACGAGGGCTGTTCAATAAATAATGTCCTGAACTGTATGACATACAATACAGATATCATATGACATTAAGCTTGACTTTCTCTCATAATGTAATCTTTATTGAATTTATAACAGTTAATGTGACCACTTTTCATCACATAGTTTCATTGTGAGAAGCTAGAAAACAAGGTCTATTCGAGACATTGCATTATACATGTAAATGAATGGTTAAGAATAAGTAAACTAGAATGAAAATAAAAGCTTCATTAAAGTTGCTGTAAAACTTGTTAAAAATCCCAAAGAAATATTCACTGAAATATGTAATATTTACAGCAACCAATGCCTGTTTTATAGACAAATGAGCAGGTTGATTTCAATGATAAAAAAATTGTTTAATGGGTATCAAAAATGGGTACCGTCCATGCCAACCAAAACTTATAACAAATTATGTACTGTTTGCCAAATTTCAACAAATAATATTTGATGATGTATGATTGACATTAAGACACATAGCAAATTTGATATACACCATTTCGGGAGTAGTTTACACTGTTTTTAAGAAACGTTTGACGGTAAAAAAGCTTAGTACTCAAAGGTCACCCTATATTTTGAAAAATGAGTGAAAACGACAGCGTGTACGAATGTCTTAACAATTATTCTAAAATATCAGTAATTGTAGTTATCCATGTTTGTTTGATATTCAAACAGATAATGGAATTTGAATCTATTGCTAAAAACCCTCAAAACTAAATTTACCATAAAATGTACTTGATAAAAACAGCAAAGGTTTGACAAGAGCAAAGAATTGCAAGAGCATAAAAACAGTCTTCAAGTTCGTATTCAGGGAGACAGTTTAATTTCTGAAGGAGGCTAGAAAGCAAATGTTTTGCAAAATCAAAGTACTGAAAGTACTGAAAAGCGGTTAGCATGCTTTCATCGAATATGTACAGTGTACAATAACAAAAAATGCATTGAATGATGATATTAAAGTAAGCATGCATGTCTTTGTCCAGTGTCATCAGCGAAGAAGCAGACACACTGAATTTTGTAGTACTTAACTAAATGGTGAAACCAATAACATTCAGAATGATGTCACAAATGTATGTTTCAAAATATCAACCTGAGATTTTCAGTTTGAAAGACAGGAAGTTCAATTTCAAAAATTTCTCCAATTGTCTCCATTGGTGGCGTCCAAAAGTGCTCAGAACGAAAAAAATTATGTTGATGTTGCAAATTTCATTTTCTTTCATGCTCTATTGATTCTGAAATTAGGTAACTGTAAAGGCTACTATAGCAAACAACTCAAAAAGAAAATAAAATGATAATTCAAATTCTTTAGATTAATTGATTTGGAGTACTGTACATAGATCTTTAGCTGGCTAGTCTGAGAAGAACGGATGGACGAGCAGAGAATTAATTAATTTCAGAGAGCTTCAGTTTCGTAGGCTCACTGCGGGTCAGCAGGTGTGACCTGTCATTGGGGATGCTTACTTCTCCTGGGCACCGGAACTTTCAAGGATCCGTTTTTCTTTTGAGACCGATCACTGTTCATTTTGTATTTTGATACAAATACTGAGTACATTTGTTTATTAATATTATGAACTTTTTCTCTCACAGGAAGAAAGATAAGTAAACAATATAATAAAGTTTTAAGAAATGTACATTATTGACTTTTCATACAATTAAATGTTCGAATAAGTAAATGGTATATGACAATGATTTAAAAAAGAGTCTTGCACGATATGTATAAACGAACGTATACTGAGTATTTGGCAAATATTTTTCATGCAATATTGTAAAAAAAAAAAAAAAAAAAAAAATGTGTGAAAAGGAAAGTTGTTGTTTAATCCATCAGTACTAGTATTTTAAAAATTCAAAGGTTAACTAAAAGTCAGTGTATAACAAACAATTTAATTGTCCATTGCAAGTATTACCTAGGTATCATTGTCACTTTCTTCAATATTTCGCATAAGCAATACATTGGGTTATTATTTTTTTTACTAAAAACAAGTATGCGAATTTCTATCAATATGCCTGTAAGCATCTGTATTTTAATTTTTATTTCTTCTCAAAGGCTCAAAATGATAATTAACAAATTGTACAAATTCAAATTTAAAAAGTATTTTTACAACTTATACCTTGCATAGGAATTTAGCAAACTTACAAAAATAATCACTTATTAGATATAATTTTCAATTTGTGCTAATTGTCAAGATTTTTCATACCTCTTTTTTCTGTGCATATTTTATATCGGCTGATTTTTAGAAGAGGATCGAATGCCGATTAAATTTTTTTCCCATTTTTTAAAAATTAATTTTAGTATATTCAGGGTCCCATTATTTTTTTTTTAAATAAAAATGTGACCGTTTTTAATAATTAGACTGAGTACAGAATTTATCCCTGGAAACAAAGCTTTTATCATCTTTAAAATAATTTCAATTGAGAGAAAAAGGAGAAGAAAACAAACGTTTCATTATGGAAGTAACAACTTACAGATGTATTCAGTATTTTTAAATAAAGGCTTTCTTCGTGTACTAATATTACTTAAGTTAATTAAAGGGATGCCTTAAGGTAGGGTGGTGTAATTTCGACCGATTATTTTTTTGTACTTGAGATTTGTTAAAGTGTGTCTCTGTTATGTTATGCTACAACTTTAACTGGATCCTTTTACCTTCAAATACATTTTCTCTTTTAGATAACATCGACTTTATATACTTTTTTTGTCATAATATGAAATAAATGCGTTCGATTTACAAGATACGTGTGTTGGGTTTCGACCGCACACGGGGTATTTTCGACCGATGAGCCAATACAAAGGAAATAATTGACGTCAGCTCTAATATAGTTTAAAAAATATTAATTTAAATTTTACTGCTGTACAGCATAAAAGATCGAGTAAAAATATACTGACCAAAAATTTACAATTTTTGTAAATGTACCTAATTCGAAGACATCGAGTGCACCAGATGTCTATGACGCCGATATGCCAACTGGTTAAGGCATGCTACAAATGTACATGTACAGGCATCTAAACTGCATGTAAATAAAATAAATTATTTTTCACTATTGTAGCACTAGTTTCTACCAGGTATTTATGTACATAGTTCTAATCATATTTTTTCTGGACGGTCATGAATTCTGTCTGGTGACAGATAGTAAATTGCGTCATTTTACATTGGTCGAAGTTACCCACTGACGCCCGCCGTATTCATGTAGGGATAACTTTGGCCGATTTCTGTTCAGCTGGTTTGCAATTTAATTTATAAAAAAATAAATATTATAAATTAAAAGGGTATAAATTTCATTTTCAAAATAATGTTTGATAAATCTCACGTCAGGGATATCCATTGATTGTCTTTTCATGCAAGATTTTTCTGAGGTGATAGTTCGCCGTAGTGGCAAAAATATACCCGTCTGTAATTTTTCGGGTGATAAAGCCTATTCCTTGATGTAATTTTCCAAAAAAGATCTTAATAACGCTCATGGAAATAAAATTATTTTGGACACAATATATTAAAAATACGTTTTCTTTCTGCATAATATAAATTTACATACAAAATTATACGCCATAAACAAAATATATTTAGGTTTTTATGAACGGTCGAAATTAAGCAGGTGGTCTAATTACACCACCCTACCCTAATATTTTGGCAAGGAAAATGAAACTCAATCGAGAGATTCTCCGATGTTTTGCAGTCGGTAATAACCTTCAACCCCTTTAGCCAGTAATTAACCCGTCCTCCCTGTGCCCAGTAACATAATTCGGTCAAATATTTATTGTTCATGAGGGGTGCCTTATAATTAATCAAAGGCACCTGAATTTTTATCAGTAAGTCTCTAAATTAGCCAAATATTGAAACATTCTACCCCCTCTATATATAAATACACAAGACGTGCAACGCCATTTTGACCCCCTGTTCGATTCAGGCTTCAATTTAACAAATAAATCGGATATGCCTACTGGTTTTCGTGTAGCATTGGGTTCAAATATGATATTTCTCGCTATACATTTCTTCCTAAAGTTTAAATCTAACGAGTTGATAATGTTATCAGCTAAACTTCATGCTGACTTCGAATTTCGTCACAGGGCCCGATCGCCATCAGCTGACGTCACGGAAATTTAATCTCGACACCAAATGCTCCTATACATAAACTTTTTTAATACAACAATTATACATTTATTTTATTGACCAACAAAATCAGAAAAAAAATTAAAAACTGAAAGATTATGTTGTTTTGATAGTCTTGATTTTATTTATCATATGTTATATATGTTATATACAAATCATAGGTAGAGGCTTTGTTGAAGTTTCCGTTGTCGATAGGTAGCGCCTTATGGAAGTTTCCGGTGTCGATAAAAATTGCGTAATATCGTTGGAGACATGCCATAAAGCGGTTAGCAAAGCTAACCGCTTAAAAATCGAAAGGTTTATTAGAGGAAAGACCCAGAATCAGGTATCCACTACATTAACTTTCTTCATGACAGCGTCCAAACCCGCACGCCCTGAAGAGTAAAGGGGTTTTCGGGATAAACAGAAACTTAATGTTTTTTCACATTATTCGCCAGGATCTTTGACCTTTTGACTTATTTCTATTTCCAAACTTGAAAAAACACCTTTCAGAAGGAAGAAACATTTCCAGGAAATCACTGGATCTGCCATTTTCGAGTACATGTATACTAAGGGTTATACCCAAAAATGAGTTTTAAAAACAATCAGAAATTGGATAAAAAATGTTACGGACATGTGTTTTAATTAAAAGAGATTAATAAGTTAAATCATGAAGACTGAATCATTGAAAAGCGTCTTTTGCTTCTTCCCGAGCACCCAGGACATTAATTATTGAACAGCCCTCGTATTTAAAATTTTAATTACATTCTAATTTTTAAACCAGTTTCCAAATGCTTTCAAAAAATACAACACTTAAAAATTGATTTTAAAGAAGTTTAGTTTTTTCCCAAAAGTATTATTTAAGAAACACTACCCTCTGCTATCTTGCACATATGCCTGATAAGGTACGTTAATTTTTTTGTGAGTTAACATGTTACAGTATGAATACTTCAGGACAAAGTCTTGGAAAAAATTATATAGTATCAAGGAACGTCTCATCTGTCCTTAACGACATTCGATCCTGATATTTATAGTCTTAAACTTTTTTGCCAAGTATATTTTTAGTTTCTGCATACATAGCTTAATTAAAATTCAAATCAAAAGATGGGGGTCAATACGCTTCTTTTGGCGCTACAATACACTTAATATGACCTTTCTGCACTGAAATTTGTGTCTTAATTAAAAATTACATTTTTGACGTTTTCCTTACAATAGTTTTATCCAATTGAAGCATGAAACAAAATGAACTCTAAGTTTGTTTAAAAAAACACACTTAAAAATTGTGACTAAGAAAAAGTTTCAAATTGCTTCGCATAATCAATTATTTGACCTTTCTGCACTAATAAAATGTGATGTTTCTGTCATTGAAAATTTAATAAGCAAGAAAATTATTTTAAAGTCTTAAACTTTTTTCTGATTTTAAGCAAATAGGTCAAATTTATCTTGAATATTTAGAAAAGAACATCAAAAGTTGGGGTATATGATGTAAATTTTTAGATTTTACTAAAAAAGTGTCAATTTTACGTTAAAATTGGCTCAATTTTCTCCCGGATTTTCAGAATATATTTACTATATTTGTCACATTTTGTTGATAGAATTCATAAGAAATAATTTAATAGATATTTCAGAACCAGTATAACACATTTCACTGCAAAAAACAGCTTTCTCTGCAACCAGGATGGGAAAATAGGAATCTAAAATTAACAATACTGTTATAGTTCAAAATGGAAAAACTGATCATATTCGTCTAAAAAACCTTCCGCCACAAAATATAGTCCCTAGTTTAATTCTACTTGAAGGGAATTTAATCTCGGTTTTTTCATTGAATATAGTTAATTTTGCACTGTAGAATTCAGATTTAATGTTAGAACTTAAAAATAATGCAGAATTTTATAAATAAAGGACATGACCAAAATATGCTCAAAATCTCAGGATAGAACGTCCTTAAATATGTTACATTTAAAGTTTAAATCTAAAGTTTAAACTTTAGATTAAAACTTTTAATGAAATAAATAGATCGCGAGGTCCTGTGACACAGCAGGTGCTGGCACGAAAAAGATTCCTCACCACTCAATGGCTTTGATTGCAAATGTAGCTCTCCATTGGCAAGTAGTGGCGTCTCTATATGAGGGAAAAACTCAAGAGGGACGTTAAACAACATACAATCAATCAATTAATCAATCAATCAATATTGATGAAAAATAGTAGCGAAACCTTTATTTTGAAAATAAATATCAGATTCAAAATAAAAGTCTTGATATAAAGTAAATAAGCAAGCTAATTAAATATTTTTTTGCATGTTCATGTAATTCACATTTTACCAGAGTATAAACATTAATGATGCTAATAAAGAAAGAGACTTACCATATGCTTTTGATAATTCAAAAACTGAGACAGTAGAAAATAAAATTTGAACGTACAAATACATGTTCAAAGCGTACAGTACCGTCAAAAAGTATCACGGAAGCTATCATATAAAACGTGATTTAAGTGACTCAGTACTTGAGTCATTTTACAAATACTGCATTGTTTTTTTATAGACAAAATATTGACATCACTTAAAATTAATAAGATTGTATCGACCTCTTCATAGGTTCTATATCTTATATCCTGCATAGTTTTTTTCCTTTCAATTAAAACTTACAAAAATAAATCGATCAAGCATTCAACATTTCTGATTATAAATAAAAAAAAATATTTTCAGTCTTTAAAGTGAGATTTTCCGGAGATTCAAGAATTCGTGGTAAGTGGATCACACCGACACGGAACTTGCTTGTAATGTATCAGTGTATTTATCACTATCTCTAGGAACACACTTTAAATGACCACGTAGAGTATACATGTACATAATTGTAGTTCAATGTTTAACTTAAAACGTAATAAATTTTTGCTTGAAGGTATGTTTAATTTACTTTAGTTTTTCACAATAAGCTAAATAACCGCACTTTAAACGGCGTAAAGTTTAATACTTTACCAAAATTTGCTGTATCCTTATTTAAACAATAAAATGCCTTCTTTGATTGTTATTACTGGAATTAACGGAAGCAGCTGTTGCAAAAAATACATATATAAGTTTTTTTCTACAATAGCTGCGAAGAGGGCTACATTATTGCAGCTAGTTAATTCCAGTAATAACAAACAAAGAAAGACATTTTATTGTTTATATTTAAATCTGTTTAATTTATCATTTAAAGTAGGATTAAAAAGATTAATTATTGTATTAATGATGCGAAAGCCTTTATATATGGAACGCCATCACTGCCTTATAGCATAAATCTATGCATTCATTATGTCAATCTATCATTACGTGATGTGAACATATTTTTACGTTATATCAATTTTTTATGGGGTGATGTAAAAATATCTTTACATCATGTCAATGCTGCATTACATGAAGTAAACACATTCTTCCATTATGTCAGCACTTTATAACTTGAAGTCGGAAGTTCATTATGTGAAGTGAAAATATGTTTACATTGTGTTAAATCTTTATTACGTGAAATGAATGTTTCTTTATATTATTTCATTTCTTTAATATGTGAGGTCAAAATTGCATTACGTCAAGTAAATTGTGTTTTATAATTAAACTTATCATTACATGAAGTCAAAAGTCCATTCCTTTTTGAGAATGTATATGTCTATTATATCAAAGCATTATTACGTGATATGGATTTATCTTTATTTTACGGCGAGAGCATCATGATGTGAGGTGAACACATCTTACCTTTATGTCAGTGCTTTATTACGTGGTGTAAAAAGTGTATAACATAATGTGAACATATCTTTATATTATATCAACACTTTATTACATTATGTCAAAACTCCATTCCGAGATGTGGATATATAATTTCGTTATGTCAACTCTTTCTTATCATATGTGATTTAAAAAATATCCTTATATTGTGTTAACTCTTTATCATGTTGATTCCAAAAGTTCATTACCTGATGTGAAAATACATTTACATTATCTGAAAGCTGTATATCTAGTATAATGAATGTTGACGACCGTGTTTTAATGACTGGTAAGAGGGGGGGGGGTCCCAATTGAGTAGGACGAATTATAGATACATAATATCAGTCCCCCCTCTTTTCCCAGACATAACCTTATTTTAGAAAATGTAATGTTCATTGAAAGTACAGCCCCCACCCCCACTTATTGTTGAACTATAGTCCACTAGGGGTAATGTAGTATAACTGAAAAAATATAGGACTGATCGAAGTCGGACCCCCCTCTCCGAAATAGATTTTCGGGCTTAGACAAATTTTTTTGGCTTGTCAAGTTTTTTCGGGTAAATAATTTTTTTTTCTGGCTGACATCCTTTTTCAAATAAATGCTATGTCACGGAATTAGTTACTGTAATTTTTTCAACCATTCCAAGACCAGAATTCTGTTACAAAAATCTACCAGTCCCTCATCTAAATCAATTGAGCATGCATGGGCACATATTTGTGGCGCATATGGGAATCTTGAAAAAAGAAGGGGGACGGTATAGAGTTGGTGACCAAAGGGGGAAAGCGGAAAAACTCTCCGGCAGGCTTTATAGTTTTCTATAGAAACAGTTTTCAATTTAATTCAGCTAAACTTAATGTGAAAGTAATGCAATGACCTACAACGTAAAACTAATAAATTTATTAATTTTATGTATATTTTGGTGACTAAAGATGGTAGGGCGGGATTTCTGCCCCCCCCCCTCCCCAACCCGCCAGTGCACGTGTGTTATACGATCGATGTGTTTACACTTTAAAACAGGAGAGTTAAAGACTGATAAAAAAAACTTATGACAGTGTTCTGAGTAAGATCAGAAGTTTAAGATTTTCATAAAAAAAAAGCAATTCAAAAGAAAAAAAAATGCTGCACGACTCATATTTGATTTATTTAATTATCAGATAAAAGTAAACGCCATTGAATTTCGACGCGTGACTTTAATTCACAGTCGCAGTGTTAAGGCTTTGCACGTTTCAAGATTGTCAATCATTTTTCGCTTAATGTTTTCATTTAAAGATGCAATTCCCAAATCGCTGAGAATTTATTTTATGACACTTTTCTCTCCCGCCATTTTTAGTGCTTTCGGAATGCGGAAAATACGTTATGCTCATATAAAGGCCGAGGATACCCGTGTTCGCATAACGTAATAGTGAATCGACATAATGTAGAAGAGTGTGCACAGTATGACATGAGCTTTTCACATCTGATATGAGATGAAATAGCCTAAGATACATGTATGCTGACAAGAGGCTTAGCATTTTTTACACAATGTAAAGACACAATGACATAACGTAATAACGATTTGTCAAAAAGTAAGGGCAAATTCACATCATGAAATTGATTCACGTCGTCATGTAGCATATTGAGGGCATAAAGTAGTAAAAGAATTGACCACATGTGACAATTTTTTCAGATCATGTAATGAAATTCTGACATCGTATTATAACGACTTGATATTGAGTTAAAGATAAATTCACATCATGTATTGAACTACTTAGACCAAATAGTAGAGAGTGCACATAATGTAATAATGAGTTGAAAATGTATAAAAACATTTTTACACCACGTAAAATTGTTTTGACTTAATGTCATAAAGAGCTGATATAATGCAATGGAAGATTGGCGCAATGTAATTAAAGTGCAAGTTAATGCCATAAAGACTAAACATAATGTAATTGAAATTTGATATAACGCAATAGTAGTGTGTGTAATTGTCATGAAGAGTTGACATAATGTAATGAAAGGTTGACACAATGCAATAGTACTGTGGACTAATGTCATAAAGAGTTGACATAATATAATGGAAGGTTGACATAATGCAATAGTACTGTGGGCTAATGTCATAAAGAGTTGACATAATATAATGGAAGGTTGACATAATATAATGGAAGGTTGACATAATGCAATAGTATTGTGGGATAATGTCATAAAGAGTTGACATAATATAATGGAAGGTTGACATAATGCAATAGTATTGTGGGATAATGTCATAAAGAGTTGACATAATATAATGGAAGGTTGACATAATGCAATAGTATTGTGGGATAATGTCATAAAGAGTTGACATAATATAATTGAAGGTTGACACAATACAATAGTAGTGTGAGTAAATGTCATAAAGAGTTGACATAATGTAATGTAAGGTTGACACAATGCAATTGTTGTGTTCTGCTATAAGGCAGTGACGGCGTTCCATATTTATACGTTTCATTGTTGGAACAGCCACTGATCAAGAAATCTGTACAGGTGACATGCCTAATGTAGTTCATGCAGTGATTAACGCAATGGGTTTTCTTAAGAAATGCTGTAGACGTACTTTTTTCCACGGGGTCATAATTCCGCGGAATCTCAATTTCTGTTTATTCCGCGGGTAGATAATTACGCGGATTTCTTAAACTGTTAACTGTATGCCTCACATTTATATTAAGTACGCTTGGACAAATTTGGACGGAAAATTTGTGACCGCGTACATAGTGTAAATTAATACCACGCGGAAAAAAGTACTTCTACAGTAAATGAGAAAATATTCAGTGGATGTTGTTGTTTGTTTATTTATTCCTTAAGTCATATGACTTATCAGATAACATAATTACAAGATACAGGATGTAAAGCACAGAATTAATATACATAAATGAAATATTTACATGTACAGCTCAACAAACTTTTTAAGCTCACATGGTTTTTCGCACAAATTAAGGTCACATTTTTATAATAAAAATTAGTATTTTCGAACCTCAGAACGACATGGCCCTACGTTATATTACATATATAATGTCAAGTATAAATGTCCTTTAAAATTATTATCTTAAGTTTCCAAAGTGGATGTTTTAGAGGGGAATTTATGAATAAATGGTACGATATTTCTACTATAGGCCTCTACCATAGGTTATTTACAAATAATATAAAACGTGCTTTCTTTGATACAATGTAGTTGAAAATTTTAAAATTTCTTCTTAAAGGTGATTATTTTTAAAAATTCTTTGCTCATTTACCATACACATCTGGATTTTGTCGAAATGTAGCACCGAAAAGAGATAACATTGCAGAAAGAAAGCATACTACAGGGTAGGATTATGAAGTATTGTTTATTTTTTTAAATAGTAAATTTTTTCTATGAAAAGGAAAATTCTTATGGATTTACAGTTTGAAACATTAAAATTTTGGTGTGGGGTGAATCTTTCATGATTCTGGATTTTAGAAGGTGACTCTGAAAAATGCCACCTTATTAACATACAAAGCAGTAAAACAGATGAAAAAAACTATTATCACCCTGTGCTAAAGAGTCAGAATGTACAGAAAATACACGTTACAGTAGCTTTACTGTGCCCGTATCTATGTTTCTGCAAAGAGCTACTGCTTTCAAAAGAACGGACAAAAAGACAGCTGCAATTGGCAAGAAACCACAAAAAATCAAATGGAAATATGTCTTATTTTTCAGCCAAGAATATATCAAAGTTCTAGCAATTGATTTTTATGAATTATGTTTTGGTAAATGAAATGAAACTAAAATAGTGTAAACAAATACTTTTAAAATGTATTTTGATTTCTCAATACTCAATATTACATTATATATAACAATGTGACTTTAATTTGTGCGAAAAACGATGTGACCTTAGAAAGTTTGTTGAGCTGTACTTCTTTTAAGTTAATACTGCTTGTTGTATACAATATTTCCAACCAAACATAGAAAAAATACTCAGTTTACAGATGTAAATCTCTAAGTGCTTCTGCTTTTTGGAGGAATTTCCCTATATTACAAAGTTCACTCACATTTTCAGTTGATAATAATTGTAATAGTTTATACATGCTAGGTCTATACCAATAATACTTTTTGTGGATGTAATTATAAGATAATCAATAAAGTAGACTCAGACGGGTCGACAGGAGGCGCTTTCTCCTTCATGGCCCATGTTTGCAACTTTCGGTTTTCGAACCGTCATGGTTTGCCCAGTTCACAAGCAATATTTACGGAAACTACGAAATAAAGCACTGTTTGTTGTATTACAATTTCCACCAAAATAGGCAATAACAGAATGTTCGAGTTTTCAACACTTTATGCAACCACTTCCCACGAAAAATTTAATTCAGATTGTTCACATCATAGACAGCTGTTTTAAAACGTGTTAATATACTAGTACTTAAATCAGTATCTGACTGACATTATCAATTAACAATATATTTAGTTTTATTATACTTTCATGTTAAATACTAAAATCTGATTGGTTTAGACGCAGTTAACAATCCGTTCTATTACCCTCAGCCTTAGCAACGCATGTGACAACGGGTAACACAACGGTAATGCCACATGCGTGGATATTATGCGCGTTCACCGTAGAATTCTCAAAACGTCAGTTGCGCGTTTGAAAGAACTGGAATAAACTTGACGTCAATAAAAGCTTGCGTCTGATGTAGTTTACTTGAAAACAACAAACGACAGACGAAAAATGCTTGCAAGTGCAGAAATAACGAAACTTTATATGATAAAAGACTCTTAGAGTATCAAACAAACAATGAAAAGCCAAAGGTCAGTTTTTTTTAGAAGTAGCGAGGAGTTTGAAAGCTTTCTAAACGTGAACGTAAAGATGATCGACGTTTTTTTTTTTTTTTTTTTTTTTTTTTGCTGACTTAATTTAAGAAGACATTCAGTATAATGAAATAAATGGTGCCTGTTTTGGAGGGTAACAGTTGAAATTGCCACCCCTCGGAAAACCATTGTCAACCTCCGCTGACGCGTCGGTTGACAATGGTTTTCCTTGGGGTGTCAATTTCAACTGTTACCCTCCAAAACAGGCACCATTTATATAATATCTATTTATATGTCGTTTCGATATGTCCCATTAAACGTGAAAAAAATGACAAGACAAAGTATTACAGTTTTGTTCACATCTGAATAATGTACTAAAACACTTGATTAGTAACCTAACAATAGAACTTTCTGATTATGATGGTGATGTCACCTTTTCTATCATCAGATTGTCTTACTGTCTTTCCTGATATACTTTATTTTATCAAATAAAATATACAACATGACTTGTTGTATATTTTATTTGATAAAATAAAGTATATCAGGAAAGACAGTTATGATTAATGACTATGTATGTGTATCGGTATATGTGTCCTTATTAGGTAATAACATAGTGTAGGTGTAGAATAATGAAGTAGTAATGTAGTTTTTCTTGTTTAAGTAATAGTTTTTTTTTATTAATTTTTTTTGTATCTAGTACATCAGTATTTCATGTATTTTCAGGTTTATATGAAGTTCAGTATATAAGATCTATATAAAATATTTTTGTTTTGCATTTACGTTCATAAATTGATGCATTAATTCAGTTTGCCAAAAATGTCAAGACAAATAATTAAATCTGGTCAATTTACTTATAAAAACTCCATCTGTTAGATATGTTTTGTAACAAAGGCACAAAAATGTACTATGATGTAATTTGTTATTCAGAGGGTCAAGCAAATTTGCAGATAGGTGTTACGTTGTTTGCAATTGTCCTTTAGGGTTTCCTTTCATCTTTTTTTACCTAGTGTCAAAGTCAAGATATACTCAGGTGTCAGTAGATTTTTCTTTGTTAGGGGATTACCCGTGTTAGAGTCAATTAATGGATAATGGTCAGTGTCCGGAGATCACGGTCACGTGATCTATTTAATAGCGATTTCAATTAACGAAACTATTTGAGAACAAAGAAACTAAATTTTGATTGGCCGAAATTGACCAGGGAAGCCCGGGTCTCCGATTTAGATGGCGTACCCTTTTTCGGTCATTCTTATCGGAGACCTGAATAAAGCAGTATATTTTACTTCGCACTTCCCTGTGTCTAATTTCAGGTAAAATGGTTTATATATCTTTTTCTTTTTTTTCTTTTAAAAATTAATTGCAAGTTATTATTCTGTTTTGTAAAAGTTACTTAAACTATTTAATTTTGTTTTATGGAAATTTGAGCTTTCATTTAAAGTAAAATTCGGTTTTAAATAATTAATTACACAAAACCCAGTTATGCAGTTTTAAGGTTTTTATTGTTTAAACTTTTTATAAAACTAGTTCTCAGGCAATATCCACTATTATACATGGATTAATATTATTTGTTTCAATTATTTTTGTTAAAATCAGCAAAGTTCGGAAATAATTTGTTCAGTTTAGGTTTTGGGTTTTACTGTTTATTAAACTGGTTTTCACTTTTCACAATGTTGAACAAACAAACCATGCGGCGAGTATCTTTTATATTGTAAGTTTTTACGAAGTATTTCTTTGATTGATCAAGTTGTAGGAATGGTTAGATAAAATAATGATGTTTATAATTCTTCTTATTTTGGTTTAAAGTTATTTATATTGATAATGTTAACTTAAACTTGTTTACATTTTGTCAGTTCGAATTTCCTTAGCCAATGTTTACCTTCACTACTTATTTAGTTAAATGACTTTGTTTCGATTTGTTTTTAAATAGAGTGAGTATTTTTATATTGTTTAATCACTCTATTAGTCACCAGAGTTAAGTAAGTTAGGGCACCAACCTTTGTAATGCGTTATGCAGATAGAAATGATTTTTATTGTACCTGGTGACTATATATTTTGTTACATTCTTATCGGAGACCTGAATAAAGCAGTATATTTTACTTAGCACTTCCCTGTGTCTAATTTCAGAGTAATCGTCCCAAACCTATTTGGACTGGACATTACGTCATTAAGGGTCCTCTACACTGCCAGCGAGTCAAGTTCCCCAACTATTCAAATCGTACAAAAACACGACACGATAACTGGTGGAGTAGATCCAAAACCCGGATTTTATGAACTACAACCTAAGGAAAAGGAGCACCAAGATGCCAACACCATCCAATGGAGGAAGAGAGTCACCAGTGGAAAACGAGACCACAGAGTTGGAACAAATGAAAAAGACATTACAGGAAAGGGAGAAAGAGATAGCAGCCCTTCAGGAGAAGAATGAAGAATTCCAACTTAGAGAAATGGAGATACGTCGAAGAGAGTCTAGACAAATTCAAGCGAGGGAGGAGGAGATCGAGAACCTCCAAGAGCAACTACGACGAGGAAGCTCCAGACCACTACCCACAACCATGTCTCATGCTACGCCTAAAGTAAAGTTAGACAAGTATGACGGAAAGACGTCCATCATTCAGTGGTGGCTTAAGTTCATCACATTCATAAACCTCCAACGCCTGACAGAGAAAATGGCCATCGAGACGCTACCATTTTATCTAGCCGGAGCTGCGGAGTCATGGTTCTTTTCGCTTGACGAGGCATTTAAACATTCTCTGTCCACCATCAAGGAAGCCATCCATCAACGATTCCAACCATCCTCCAGAAATAATCTTCAACTGATGGATGTGAAACAAAAACAAACTGAATCGGTGGAGGATTTTATACATAGGGTAACTCAGATGACTACCGATAGACGAGTGGACCAGGATTGGCTGATCACTGTAATCATGAATGGCCTGAAACCAGACATAGGAGCCGATGTGATCAAAGTGGACCCCAAATCCCTGGAGGAACTAAGAAATGTGGCCGCCCGAGCTGAAGTTGCCGAGAGACGCCGGACCAACTCTCCTGCCCTACAGGAGAACACTAACCTTGCTCTTTTGAATGCATTGCAGGAAATCAGAGATGACATGAAAGCTAACCAGAGGAAGTTTTCCCCTCAGCAGTCCCGGCGCCCTGGAAAGCCAAAGCCGCAACAAGGATACAGACTACCACCTCCCCAGGCCTATCAGCAGTCACCCCCGTGGCACCAGCAACCACCAACCCAATGGCAGCAACCACCACCACCTCCTGGCCCACAGCCTGGATACAATCGACCACCCCAGCCTTACAACAACAAGGGTAAGTTTTGTGATTCTGTCTCTAACGATGTTTCATTGATTAGGTGTTTTTATTGTAGAGAATTAGGTCATTTAAAGAAAAATTGCCCACAAAGACAGTCTCAATACAATTCACAATACACACACCCATCACAGTCATCTTACCCACAGACATCTTACAATCACGATGCATACATGTCACAACAATAGGGGTGCGTGCCTGTCTTTGGAAGCCATTCTAAAGATAGGCAACACACAGATTCTATCCCACAGGTGAATTTAGTTGCTCACATGACCAAAAACACAATCCCTATTTGGGTGGGTGGTCGTAATACAAGTGCTCTAATTGACTCGGGTGCCTCTGTTACCATTATTAACAAAGAATTTTTAACAAAAACTAAGTATGCAAAACAGCAATTGCTCCCTCCCACATTTCAGTCTGTCAAAGGTGCTAGTGGAAAATTACTCCCAGTTTTAGGCCAGATAATGTTAGAAATTTTTATTAATGGCCAGGAATACAAATTCAAAACTCATGTGGTAGATGGCATTCATCATGCATTTATCTTAGGTGTAGACTTTTTGTGTGCTCATGACACAGTGCTAAGGTTTTCAACTTCAAATACTTTGCATATCCCTGACCGGTATGGTGAGAACAATGTTTGTGTGATAACCACTGAAAATGGTTATGCTAGGGCAAAATACCCTGTTACTATTCCCCAGAGGTGTGAAATGAATATTGTAGTGCATATTTCTCGCCATCAAAATGGTGACTTGGTTTTGTTAGAACCTCACAAAGATTTAGAAACTCTTAATCTTTCAGCTGCTAGATGTTGTGTACAGGTAGACTGTAGTCGTGCTTTTCTTAGAGTGATTAACCCCACTTTTGAAGATGTTGAATTACCTATTAATTTTGTAGTAGCTAATGTGATTGACATAGATCATGAAAGTATTTTGTCGTTAGAGAGTGAGACTAAACATGCAAGTGCTTTGAATCCAGACAAATCAGAAACCCAAGTAAAATCTCAAAATGAAATTCAGTTTGATTTAGAAAATTCTGATTTAGACTCGAATCAAAAAGAAATTTTGCTGAAATTCTTATCAAGATACAGAGAAAACTTTGCTCTTGATCTGAGTGAATTGGGACGGACGAGTGCTCACAAACACAAAATTGAAATTAAACCAAATTCAAAACCTGTTCGGCTTCAATTCTACAGAACATCCCCACAAGCGTCTAAAGAAATTGAAAAACAAGTGTCAGAAATGTTGAAACATGATATAATCCAACCTTCAAATTCAGAATGGCATTCGCCAGTGGTTTTAGTAAAGAAAAAGAATGGTCAGTTTCGGTTTGCTTGCGATTATCGAGCCCTTAACAAAATTACTGTGCCGATGTCCTTCCCACTTCCTCATTTAGAGACAGTTTTTGATGCTATTGGGGAAGCCAAAGCCAATTATTTCACCAATTTAGATTTGATGTCTGGATTCTGGCAAATGGAGCTTGATGAGGATAGTAGGCAAAAGGCAGCATTCATAACTCAAGGTGGAGTTTATGAATGGAAACGTATGCCTTTTGGACTTACTAACTCACCAATCTCATTTCAAACTTTGATGTCTAATGTGTTGCGGGGTTTAAATTGGAAGTCAGTACTGGTGTATGTTGATGACATTCTGATCTTCTCACGCTCTTTTGATGAGCATCTGACTCACTTAGCCCAAGTTTTTGATCGCTTGAAAGAAGCTAATCTAAAATTACAACCCACAAAATGTCACTTCGCAGTAAAGGAAGTTAAGTTTTTAGGGCACATTATCTCTCGTCAAGGAGTACGTGTGGACTCTGATAAAACTACTGCTGTCAGTGAGTTCCCTACACCAAAAACTCTAAAACAGGTACGTAGTTTTCTAGGCATGGCCAACTACTATCGGAGGTTTGTACAAGACTTTGCCAAAATTGCAACCCCTTTAAATTCTCTTTTAAGTAAGGAAAAGAAATTTGAATGGTCTGAACAGTGTCAGGTAGCTTTTGAAACCTTAAAAGAAAAATTGATTTCAGCCCCCATTTTGGCCTATCCTGACACGTCAAAATCATTCATTTTAACATGTGATGCCTCTGATAGTGCAGTTGGTTATGTATTAGGGCAGATAGATGATAACAAGAGAGAGTATGTGATCTCGTATGGAGGTAAGTCTCTTTCAGCAGATCAGAAAAAGTTCAATACTACTGAGAAAGAGTGCCTTGCAGTCCTAGAAGGTATTGCTGCTTTCCGCCCATACTTGGTACACAGCCGGTTCACTGTGGTAACTGACCACAAAGCGTTAGTTTGGTTACAAACAGCTAAACACACAGGTCGTTTAGAACGCTGGGCCCTAAAGCTACAGGAGTACAACTTCCAGATAATACATAGACCAGGTAAGAGTAATTGGGTAGCTGATGCACTCAGTAGAAGAGATTACCCTGGTAAGGTAAGTACCTCAGAAATTAATGCTGTAGACATACCAACTAATGACCACATTCAGACTACAGACAGTACTCCAACACAACCTTTGCAGCGAGAGTATGAGTCAGTAAGTGTTCAGACAATGGCCTCAAACCCGGAAGCAACAACAGATACTCAACAGGTAAGTACACAGTTGTGTACTCAAGGTGAGTCTACCTCAAAAGTTATTTCTGTAGAAGTACAAACTAACCAGTTGGATGAAGTGAACATAATATCCCAGGTATCTGAAGCATCCCAGACTGTAGAATCAGTGCCAGTAAGTAACCTGGTAAGTACTTCAACAACAACTCCAGATATAGCATCTGTCACTACAAATACTGACGATTCTTTAGACGAGGACGCCACAATAGAAGACAATTGCTGCATACAGGTATCATTTTCATATGATAGTGAAATCCCAGTAGTGGCTCCTGTACAAGTTACATCTGATGACGAGGAAGATATTCAGGTTAGTTCTCAAAATCTAGGTGAGTTACAAGCAAACTGTCCAGATTTTACACAAGTCTATCAATATCTGCAAGATGGTACACTTCCGGTAGAAACAAACGCTAAGGACATGCTCATTGCAGAAGCAAAGCACTTTAGTTTGGTAGACGGTATCCTGTACCATTGGTTTCAAAGGAGGTGCAAAAAGCCGAAAGGTGAGTTCAACTTCATTAAGCAATTGGCACTGCCCCAAGTTCTGCGCAAGGATGCTCTACTGTCATACCATGACAGTCTTGCGGGAGGAGGTCACCTTGGCATAGAAAAGGTAAAAACAGCTCTATACCGTAAGTATTATTGGCCTAGAATGCATAGTGACATAGTTGAGTATGTTAAGTCATGTGACAGATGCCAACGAGCAAAACGAGATTACAACCCCGCAAAGCCACCAATGCAAACACTTCCGCCAGCGAAAAAGTTTGAACGATGGCACATAGACATCTTAGGTCCTTTGTATAAAACAAAAGAGGGCAATGAATACATTTTACTGTGTGTAGATGCGTATTCTCGATGGGTTGAAGGGTTTCCATTGAAAACTCAAAGTGCTGAGGAAACTGCAAGAGTGCTTTTCAAAGAGATTTTCTCTAGATATGGGGCCCCCAAAGTTTTATTTTCAGACAGAGGTAGAAATTTTATGTCAAAATTAGTAAATGCACTTTGTGAAATTTTTGACATCACTCAACACCACACTTCGGCTTACCACCCCAAAACAAACGGTTTAGTTGAAAGGCAAAATAGCACTCTTGCACAATCCCTCAGAGCTTACTGTGGAAACGCTCAAGAACAATGGCCAGACTTGCTTTCAACCATCTTAATGGCCTATCGGAAATCACCATCCTCACACTCTACAGAATTTTCACCTTATTTGTTAGTGTTTGGGGAAGAAATGAACCTTCCCTATGATGTTGCCCTTGACCCAATTGAAAGCATGGGTAGAGATGCTAAAGCCTACATAAGAGAGTTTTTAGAAAACATGAGAGTGTTTGACAAAATTGCTAGGGAAAATATTGCATGGCATCAGTCTCAAAACAAAATTAGGCATGACTTGAACTCAAATATTCCACATTTTCAGCTAGGTGATCAGGTTCTTATCAAGGTCAACAAAGTTCCAAAAGGGTTGTCGAGTAAACTGTATGACAAATCTGATGGACCATACCGAATTGTGGAAATGGGTCCTAATTATACTTACAAACTTCGTAGATGTATTGACAACAAATTGCATGGGTCAATGATGAATGCGTCCAACTTAAAACACTATCATGACCCGGAGGTCACTAGACCTACTTTTCATAATCCTATACAACAAGGTCAAAGGGATGTTGTGCAAGGTCAAACTCAAAATCAAAATGTACAACCACAAGGTCAACCAGCAGCGCAGCATCAACAGAATGATGTTGATAGTAACAATGATTCTGACATGGTGCAAGATGACGGTTTAGGTCAACTATTTGATGATCAAGGTGAAAATGTAGATCATCAAAATGGTTCTACTGATGATCAAAGGTCAATAAATGAGTCCATAGACTCAGGTCAAAGGTCAGATGAGGAGTTGGATACTCCTGAAGAGGAGATCTATGATCCACAGAAAAAGTGGAAATTCAAGAAATTTTTGAGAGGTCGCTTCAAAAATGGTAGAAGAGAAATTTACATTGAATGGGAAGATGGTTCCAAGACTTGGGAACCAGATCAATGTTTTGACAATGAGGTCTTGGAAATGATAAATCACAAATTTACCAAACTTGGCACAGTTAGGAAATCTTGTTTCAAGAGGAATTATTAGTTTTCTGATAAGTAAGCAAAAAAATGAGAACATTTTAAATCAGAAAAAAAATTTTTTTTTAATTGCTCAATGCTACTTTACATTGCCAAAACTTGTTGTACTGCAAAAAGTATTGAGGTAACCCTATGTCAAAACTATGGTATTACATAGTGGTTGGTATTTTTTATTTACAAGTATTTATCGTTTTAAAACATGATCAATTTTAGTTTTAAGGTAACTACTGTGGTTTCAATACAGTCAGTAAAACAATTAGGAATAGTTTTTTTTCTTCATAGGGTTATGCAATTGCATAACATTAATTTTTTGTGTTGTGTTAAAAGTCTTATGTCAAATATGTGTGTTGAATTCCTATGCGGCTAGCCATAAATTCAATATTAAAGTTATTTTGATTATTTCTTTTTCGTCTCGAATTATTTTCAAAAATGTAGGATAAAGTATTACTGATGTGATGGAGTCACCCCGTTTTGTAAATTTTATTTGCAGTAAACTTAGTGCTAGAAAATTTGAATAACGATCGGTTCATCTTTTCATGACATAGTCATCACATCTTTAATAGTCTTTTTCCATTTTTGTAATTTTTTTAGGGAACTTTGGAATTCAACACTACATGTTTGGGGTATTCATGATGTTGTCCTTGTGTATGGTGATGGGCCAAGCAAGTCAAGTGGATCCATCTACTACCAATGTCATACAGCGTATCAACTATGGTGTTATTTTTCAACAACAGTCAAAAATCATGTTAGCTCAAGAGTATTGGCTGCATACTTTTCATATTCCTTTGCCAACAAGATTTAAGGTCAAAAAGGTTCCTTTTTGTTCACTTGGTAATACTCACGAAATAGCTTCTTGTTTGCTACTAAACAATTTGGCTAACTTTATCCATGGTCTGCATGAAGAAACTTTATTACATTTCAATGAAACATTGCAATCCATTAGAAATATGATCCCTCAAACAAAACTTATAAGTAATCAAAGACAAACACGTGCACTTTTGCCCTTTATTGGATCTTTGTCAAAAAGTATATTTGGTACGGCAACCATGGATGACGTTAACATTTTAGCTGGTCATATCAATGCTTTAAATAGAAAAACAGAAACTTTAGCTAAAGCTTTGGAACAGCATGGTTCACATCTTTCATCTTTTATTTCACTTACGGATAAACGAATGAAAAATCTGGTACATGGAATAAAATCAAATTCTGATTATATAACGAGTGTAGCAACTGCTTTTAATAACAAATTGTACAATCTTGAGGCTGCTTTTACAAATGTGTCAGAAATTCTTATCAACCAGGTGAATCAAGCTACATTACTTAGATCAAAATTCACTAAGTTAGAAAATGCAGTGGAAAATCTCTTGGAAGGAAAAATTAGTCCATTTCTTATTCCAAAACACATTTTGTCAAAAGTTATTTCTAATATTCGGCATAAACTTAGAAAGTCATATCAGAAATTCTATTTGGTTCAACTTGATGCCTCTTTCTACTATTCAGGTGGAAAATTTCTGTTTGCAAGACATAATAACAATTTGTTTATCACGGTAAAATTTCCAATTTCTTCCCAGAGACTTCCACTGAATTTATACAAGGTAATCAGTCTGCCTGTACCCACTTCAGAGAATGTTACCTCTAAAATGCAAGCTACACAACTTTTGTCCTTGTCAGATTATTTTGCGATCACACCTCATCATGATTATTTTTTGTCTTTAAACTCAAAAGAGTTGACAGATTGTGTACATGGGACTTCTATTTTATGTTATTCTAATTGGGCCCAGTCGCCTATAACTGTCCCTGACTGTACCATGGCTTTGTTCGCAAATGATGTTAGAAAAATTAAAGAGTTATGCAATTTTAGATATCTTCAAAATCTATTGAAATCCAACATTTTGGAATTATCTCCAACTTCTGTGCTGTTATATAACACTCCCACTGTAATTTTAGATTGCCCAAAAGAAAAGAAGGTTTTGAAAGGTTGTGCTTTTTGTGTAGTGCATATTCCATGTAGGTGTTCTTTATCCACGGAAACATTGTTCTTTGCCCCACGCTTGGTCAATTGTTATAAGTCATCATCAAATTTTTCTGTTATTCACCCTGTAAATTTAGCCCTTTTACAAGAATTCTTTGATGAGTCTAAATTGAGTCATGTTTTTGGAAATACTTATTTTCCCACACCTATAAATATGTCCATTCCTGAATTTGTGTTTTACAACCATACTATGCATGATGTTTTAGCCAATGATCAAAAAGCCCATTTGAATTTGAAGAAAATAGCAAAAGCTGTAAAGAACGACCAGAAAATTTTTAAATCTCTTGCTGAACCTTTGTTAGATGGCCAAATTGAAATTCCTCAAGAATGGCCCAATACCTCTGACATCATTACTTTAGTGTCTTTATGCTTAGCAGGTTTATGCTTAATAGTATGTATCTTATTATGCATCAAGGTCAGAAAAATTTGCACTACCTTATTAATTTTGAAAGAGGTCCAACATGCTTCCTCTAAGGATATCCCCTCATTTATTTATAGAAAACCTGTCACGGCCAC